GAAATATTTTACCATCTCTTCCTGTAGGGTATGCAGTTCACATGAAAGAATCATATGACAATATGAAGTATCTATTGACATGCATAAAATACGATGAGCACCAATGGCATATTTGTGGCGATTTGAAAGTTGTTGCACTTTTACTTGGGCTGCAGCTAGGCTACACAAAGTTTTGCAGTTTTTTGTGTGAATGGGACAGTCGGGCAAAGGCACTTCATTACACCAGACAAAACTGGCCTGTTCGTCAATTCCTAGAGCCAGGTCAGAAAAATGTACAGCATATGCCATTAGTAGATTCGAAAAAAATTTTATTACCACCACTGCATATCAAGTTGGGCCTAATGAAAAACTTTGTCAAGGCATTAGATAGAGATGGGTCAGCTTTTCAATACCTGCGTCAGAAATTTCCAAGACTAAGTGAGGCAAAGGTTAAAGAAGGTATTCTTGTTGGGCCACAGATTCGAAATATTTTGAAAGATACACAGTTTGAAAACACTTTAACAGGTATTGAAAAAACTGCTTGGAATTATTTCCGTCTGGTGGTCACTAATACTTTCTTGGGAAATCTATAAAACCCTTGTCAAAAATCGTATCGTATCAAAAGATGGGCTGTAATATGTCTCTTAAGATACATTTCGTACACTCACACCTGGACTTTTTTCCTGACAATTGAGGAGCCGTAAGTGATGAGCACGGCGAACGTTTTCATCAGGATATTTCAACAATGGAAAAAAGGTACCAGGGAAAGTGGAATCCTTCCATGCTTGCAGACTACTGCTGGACTCTTGGTAGAGATGCTCCAGAAACGATCCATAAAAGAACAGCAAAAAGACAGCGCATATAGTGATTCTTATAAGTATATGAATCTTGTTACTTTTTTTAATATATCCTTAAAAATAAAAAGTTTTTTTTCTAAACCGCAACTAATTTTTTTATTTCATTGTCATTTTTTGATTCAGCGCCCCAAAATTAACAAAGAAGTGCACTTTTCCCACAAGATACAATTAAAAAACTAAAATTTGTTGTCCAGTGTTATTTTCACCGCGCCCCCACCTCTTCACAAAATAACAATGTGTGTATACAATAATAATGTACCTTGAGTATTTTGACGCTAAATTTACAGTACAACCTCAATTACAAATCCTACAACTTACCGAGAATAAGTAAATTCATTTATATATTTAGCAACGCCGATCTGCTGCATTGGCAAATCCGGAATCAATGACTCTCTTCGCGAGAAGTTTCGAGTTATTCCGAACATTCTCGACCGACTGCGCGAACCTGTATACACGCCGCATCGCGTCTATTCTGGTCAGTCTCCGTCGAGTCAGTCATTCTGTCTATGCTAAATCTATTGTGAATGTGTATGTTGTAATTTGCGTGTTAATTACAGTTCACGGTACTAATATACAGGGTGGCGCATCGAAAAGGAAACAGACGCATTTACTAGCAGCTCAGTTTTTTTTGGAAAAACGCTCAGACCCGTCGATTTTGTTTTCGAGGGGGACACAAGTTTGACAACAAATCACGTTAACACGTGCAGCCCCCTGGGCGGGGGTGACACCAACCCTAAAATCTTAAATGGAAAGGGGGGTCGAGTGATACCTTATTTTAAAGGTCTTTCAATTTTCCTTTATAATGATGTAAAATACATGAGCTTCAGTTCAGTAGTTTTGAAAATTTATTGATTTAAAGCTTAAATAAAACTAATACATCATCATTAGTGGAGATCAATACATTTGGCAGCAAAGTAATTTAAAAATGAAGAATGAACTGACCCGTTAGGCAAGTAAATGTTGTAAATGGCCACCATGACTCTCCATGCAATAATAAAGATTTTGCTCAAAACGTTGCCGCACATTTTGCAATATTTGAGGAGTAATCTGAAGGCACTCATTCACAATTCTCTGTCGCAGGTCTTCTAATGATGTTGGCTGAGTAGCATAGATTTTGCTTTTTAAATGACCCGACATAAAGAAATCCAAAGGTGATAAATCTGGCGATCTTGGGGGCCATTCAATGGCACCTCTTCTACCAACCCATCGAGTCGTTGTTTCACTGTTTTCAAGGAGAGAACTAAGCCTTAAGCGTCAAGGAAAGTCTGTATCTAGGCATAATCTGACAACGAATGTCTGACGCTTACGGACAGTTAGAAACAGATAACTAAATTATTTTGGTGCTTAGAGCTGAGTGACGTCTTTTTGGAAATTACTTCGGTCAACTGAATTTGACGATTGCACACGATGTGAAAATCATTGCTAGAATGAAACATGGTATTAATAAATGTGTAATATTGTCAAGCATCAGTATTTAGTGAGGTTACGTAGAAATCCACTGACACTGTCAGATATAAGACGAATAGATAATAAAAGAAGCAGAAGGTAAATGAAACAAATGATATCATTATAAGGTTTATGTACTATAAGACAATACGTGTGCAAATACAATTTTGTAAATCATCAATCTCTTCCAAAGTTGTGAGTGTGAAGAGGTTTGTCAATTCGACAAATTTCATTTCCAGGAACGAAGAATCCCAAGTATTCAACTGTTTCAGGAGTTGTATCGTAATGGTAATGTCCAGCTTCGCCGTGTTGGCTGAAGCTATGGAAATGTTGGACTCTCAAATCCAAACCCTGCAAAGTTCCAGAATTGATTCGTCAGATCATGATACGCTAGTTTCTGATTCTAGCCACTGATTTACGTATTCTCTCTCAAAAGACGCGCCAAAAAGAGATTGAAGATCGTTTTGGTGTTCAGCCAATGTCTCATAGATGGCGCTAGAGTATATGAGATCGTTCTCTGGGCGCCAGAATATGGTTGGTTATCTTCAGGTAGAATTTTCAATCGTCTAATCACAACAAAGCAGTTTGTGTAAACCAATAATAAAAAGGAGTATTGGCGATTAATTACACTGATCAACAGCCAAAAAATATCCTAAATAAAAAAAACTTATTTTTTCAGTATTAGTTTTAGAGATACGGTAATTATATGTGTTCCTGCTGTGACAGTGTTAATATACTGTAATTCACAAGAATGCACGTGCTACATTTATACTGTTTTATATTAGCGATTTTTTTCTCAGTTGGCTGACAGCGTTCATGCAAGATGTCTCGAAAGTGTGTAAACAATCCAGATCAGTTTTGTTACGTGTGTGGTGATGTGACTTTTGCGTCTCAGAGACGGTCTATTACTCCACTAATAACAAAGGCATATCAGCTTTATTTCGGTTGTAAACTAGGTGATCAAGACAAACAGTGGGCACCCCACATCTGCTGTAATACATGTGCTTCAAGTCTGAGGAGCTGGTTAAATGGCAAAAAATGGTCTATGCGCTTTGCTGTCCCAATGGTTTGGAGAGAGCCTACAAATCATATTAATGATTGTTACTTTTGCATGGTACCTTGTGTTGGACAAGCCACAGGTATGTCCAAGAAAAAAAAATCGGTTATTAACTACACAAACATACCATCTGCGATGAGACCTGTGCCTCACAGTGACGAAAATCCTATTCCAAAACCCCCAGAATCCTACACCGGCGAATCAGAAAACGAATCAGATCATGGCGATCGAGTGATTCGTCAGGAAGAAGATATGCCATCAAGGTCAAGAGATCCTGATTTTATACCGAACACGTCATGCCACCAACCGCACAAAATAACACAGTCAGAATTAAATGATCTTGTAAGAGATTTAGAACTTCCAAAATGTAAGTCAGAGTCAGAGTTACTTGGATCAAGACTGCAGCAGTGGAACTTGTTAGAAGACGATGTTTCGGTATGTGTTTTTCGTAAACGCCACAAAGATTTAGAACCATTTTTCAATATGAAGAATAACATGGTTTTTGCAGTAACATTAACGGCTTACTGGCGGCTTTAAATATAAACTATAACCCAGAAGAATGGAGATTGTTTATAGACAGTTCAACATTGAGTTTAAAGGCACTGTTATTGCATATTGGAAATATTTTACCATCTCTTCCTGTAGGGTATGCAGTCCAAATGAAAGAATCATATGACAATATGAAGAACCTATTGACATGCATAAAATACGATGAGCAGCAATGGCATATTTGTGGCGATTTGAAAGTTGTTGCACTTTTACTTGGGCTGCAGCTAGGCTACACAAGGTTTTGCTGTTTTTTGTGTGAATGTGACAGTCGGGCAAAGGTACTTCATTACACCAGACAAAACTGGCCTGTTCGTCAATTCCTAGAGCCAGGTCAAAAAAATGTACAGCATATGCCATTAGTAGATTCGAAAAAAAATTTATTACCACCACTGCATATCAAGTTGGGCCTAATGAAAAACTTTGTCAAGGCATTAGATAGAGATGGGTCAGCTTTTCAATACCTGCGTCAGAAAGTTCCAAGACTAAGTGAGGCAAAGGTTAAAGAAGGTATTTTTGCTGGGCCACAGATTCGAAATATTTTGAAAGATACACAGTTTGAAAACACTTTAACAGGTATTGAAAAAACTGCTTGGAATGATTTCCATCTGGTGGTCACTAATTTCTTGGGAAATAGAAAAGCTGACAACTATAAAACCCTTGTCAAAAATATGCTGTCATCGTATCAAAAGATGGGCTGTAATATGTCTCTTAAGATACATTTCCTACACTCACACCTGGACTTTTTTCCTGACAATTGCGGAGCCGTAAGTGATGAGAACGGCGAACGTTTTCATCAGGATATTTGAACAATGGAAAAAAGGTACCAGGGAAAGTGGAATCCTTCCATGCTTGCAGACTACTGTTGGACTCTTGGTAGAGATGCTCCAGAAACGATCCATAAAAGAACAGCAAAAAGACAGCGCATATAGTGATTCTTATAAATATATGAATCTTGTTACTTTTTTTTAATATATCCTTAAAAATAAAAAGTTTTTTCTCTAAACCGCAACTAATTTTTTTATTTCATTGTCATTTTTGGATTCAGCGCCCCAAAATTAACAAAGAAGTGCACTTTTCCCACAAGATACAATTAAAAAACTAACATTTGTTGTCCAGTGTATTTATGAGAAAACTATAAATTTTTGTAATTGTCGAAAGTTATCAGTATTTACAATAAACGAAAAAATATTTAATTTGCTATGCATTCTTTGATGCTGCGATATCAGAAGTGTGGGGTTGATTGTTATCGCTTTCCTGGCGGTTTACTCCCGTTTTCCTCTACACATCAATACTCCGTCGTTTCTTTTTGGACAAACTTCTTTTTATTATCGGTTGACATAAACTACACTAGATGATATCGGATTAATATTTTTGTACGAATATCTGCGGCAGCTGGCATGGTACGCAGCAACACCGGCTAGAGCTGTTAACACGGAACACTAAGGGCCGTATCGTCAGTCGTACGTTGTAGGACGCCTTTATGACCTCCTTGATTCTCATACTTTTTTCTCTCCTTCAGAAAGGCTGGAATATTCCTACATTTTTTTGTTTCGTGTCAGCGCCAGCGCTTTGCTATTGTGAGGTTATGTTTTCTTTTTGAATTGTAGGAAAATTCATGATGATAAAACAGATTTACGAGTATCCATCACGCTTTGACGTCTACTGAGGTGAACAGCTGTGTTAGTCTGCAACGTTGGCAATGATGGATTGGGTATAAATCTAGTACCTAAAACTTGCTTGTTGGCGTTTGGTTTTTGCACGCAAATGAACTCTTCTAAATTAAAGAGCTGTCAGCAAGTACAGAATGAATCTGTAGCGTACAAAACAATCAAAACAAAATTCGGCTCTGTCTACCTGGCGTTGACGGCTCCGTAAGAATTATGGTCCTGTGCCGATATAGAGAATTTTGAGATATTACTAGATAATCAGCTGCCATTCTACGGTGATGGATACTCGTGATATAGGGTATAAATCAAAAGCATGAACAACTTGATGAAAATAGATATTTGTAACATAACCTCAAAATGGAGCGCTGACACGAAACAGTGTAAATGAACTATGAAAATCAAGGAGGCCATAAAAGCATCCTACGCCGAATTGGAGGTCGTTTTTGACACTGTTAGAAGAGTTCCATAGCTGACTGATATCTAGTCTGTGGTCTAAAACAATATCCAGGAAATGATAGGTTTTCTTGATTGCCGAGATGATAAGATCTAGAATAAATGGAGTCTAATGTAACTCCCGAAATGTTTATAGAACTACTTGTGGCCAAAAAAGCCCCAGTGGTGGTCGAATCGTCGTATAATAAACATGAATTTAAACATATACAAGGTGAGTTCTTAGTGTGTGATCGCTCGATAACTCCGTCATTACGCATGATATCTGAAAAAGTTAAATACAAAAATTGTAGCCTTTTGTCTCTACAGGGTGATCTATATTTACGTGGTTTTACCAAAACACACATTTTATTAAATAGAACATTGCAGATTTTGATATGCCTTTTAAAACGGAGCAACTTTATACAATTTTTGACTTCGAAGTTGAGTCATTTATTTTAACAGTGAGTAGATCTGATCAAAAGAAATGTTTTTTGCCTTTAACATTTTTCTGGTAAAATTAAAGTAACAAAGTTATAGCCCTTTAGAAGTTTGAGTACCGCCCTGTTTCAATAATGATATTATGTGCTCGTGTTTGGCAACAACGGATATAATCAGCCTTATCCGTTCATCGCATCGGAAACAAAAAAGCGAAAGAATTTGAAACGATGTTTTTACTACAATGTACAATTTTATTCAGTTGTATTAAGTCGATGTGTCAGTCAGTAACGCGTGAGTGAATAGTGGTGTTTGTTGCGTGGTTCAAACGAAATAAAAAATGGCACATGTTTACGAAAATGCTGAATGTAGTACAAAGGGCTCGTGAATCAGGTGACTTAAGACCTCACAGGGGAGGGCATGCCGGTACTCCAAGACCGCACGATCAAATACAGGTCCACACTGAAATACTTGTCGGGAGGATACTTTATAAAACAAGGTAACATTTTTATTTAAATTTTTTTTATTTTTACACACATATTTTGGTTTATCTTCCTTCTACAATTATTATCTGAAAATTAATGACTCAACTTCAAAGTATACCATACTATAGGGATTTATTTTCAAATTGCTGAGAATGGACAATCTATCGGAAAAACACTCAACTTTGACATCTCGCACCTATGCAACTGCCAGAAACATTTTATGATCTCATGCGATTTCTCAAAAGTTTCAAATGGAATACCTTATACATTTTCACATTGCTTGAATTCCGTTTCCAAAATTTTTTTTGGATATAAGGTTTATGGGGGTGTGCACCTAATACCTTTCAAAATAAAAGATAGTATTTAGATGGTAACGACAGATCTTTAGAATCGGTGCATTTCTATTACAAATAAAATCTACCTAGTAGCCTTATCCAATAAAGTCGAAAAATCAAGAATGTATTTTTAATAACTAGTCGTACAGGCCCTCATAATCAGTAAAACGCTTGTGTAAAATAGATTTAAAAAACGTGTAGATATACAGGGTGTTCCATCTGAAAACTTTCTAGAAATCGTCCGTTTTGCCTTTTTGACCACCGTGCATGAACTAGTAAAAAACTGAAAAAGTAAGCAGATGGCGACAATATAATATGGAATCATAATTTTTGTCTGGCAAGTTCAGAACTCGAGCTATAAGAGAGTTTATTTGATACAATTTGGAAATAAAACCAACCAAAAAGCTGCAATAAAATGTGGAACATTCAATTTGAAAAATGCATGTTTTGGGTCGGCAAGTATTTACGAATCACCCTGTAGAGAAATATTTTCAAGTCCAAGCATTCTGTTGAGTGCAATTTTTGTATTTAACTTGTTTAGATACCATGCATAATAACTTTGGACCCCTAAAAATGTAAACGGAATATAGTTGCTGAAATACTCACGACATCGTCGTTCATAAGAGTACCAAGAGCGATAAGAGGTGCCGACATGTTATAAAACTTCAACCAATTGTTGAGCTGCTCTTCAGTTTCGATCCTACTTTTTGAGAAGTCTCTCATGACGTGCTGTTTAGCTTTGCCTTCTTTCAACACAAAAACTCCACCCAGCCCTAGAAAATGGAAACAATCGTGAGAATTCTGTAAGTGCCAATTAGTTTGATGCCTGAAGAAATAAAAAAAAATATTGTCAGAACTAAATACGCCACAGAACGCGTCTTTTAGGTCATCTTGTAAATAAAACAACTTCGCGCAAAATTTTGAGTACTCTTCAGTGTTTGGATTTTTATACTTACCAACAACCTTATCTTTATACCCTTTCTGCAAACTCTTTCGGATGCTAGCGATAAAATCATCGCCGCCTATTCGTTTTTTAGTGTGAACTTTGAGCACCTACAAAAATAATTAGAACAACACTTCAAAAATCATAAAAGACAACAAAACAAATGGCATTCTTGGGTCCATTCAAGATTTGCCATTTTGACAATCTTATCCTTACCTTTCCTGGTTTTCCTTCAGAAATCAAAAGATTGACCAACAAAGCCACCGTCGTTTCTGAATTAGGTAGGGTTTCTTGGATTGATTTGTCGTCATTCTGATCAACCTTCGAAATCCTGGTTTGTTGATTTACTTTACCATTTGCAATGGCAAGGTTGATTATCCCCTGAAAAATTAATATCCTGTTTCGTGATGGAAATATATACAAATTATTATGGTAGGACTGGTTTTTCTATTTAATCAATTACCGGCAGTCGTCTAAAAAAATACCTCATTCCTAGGTCATAATTCGAGAAAACTTTCATTCCTACTATGTAATTTCTATTTTCTCTGAAACTTACCTCGCAGTTAACACCAACATAAGGATGAGGACCAGCTCCGGCACCAACCATAAAAGCTGGCTCACAATTTAACCTCTTAGCGATATCTTTGAGGTCATACACCTTTGTTCTATCTACTTCTGGAAGGAGGAATGGAGGTCCGCCGATATCTACGATTTTTGGATTTCCACAAATTCCTACAAACAATTAGGAATACAGTTTGAATAACCTTTTTTTGGGTCTCAACCCCTCAAAAACTTTGTAGACCTTGTTAAAAAGTATCGGAGGTTTACGAGTATTTTTAGCGTTTCCATAATTATTTCGCGCGTACAGTTGTAAAATATGCTTAGCAGCATATTATAGCGCTTATCTGGGTTCTTTATGTTTGTGGAATAAAACACTGGATTCCACAAAAAGAAATTCACTAATTTATTTAACTTGATAAAACATTTATATGCACCACTATTTATGTCTGACTAATTATTATGTCACCATTGACTGCACTATGCTTCTCTTCGCTCTACTACTCCACCGTATTCCGTATAGTACTCTGCCACATCTCCCGGCCGCCGAGTTATATATAATCTTAATTACCGCTGCGAGAAATACCACGAAGCGACATCTAGAATGTTGGAGATCACTTCGCGTCGATCTAGAAGGCGATCCACTGTCACGGTCCTCACAGACGCCGCCAGGCGGCTTGTGCGGTCGTGTAAAAGCAGAGATCGGCCATTAAGCTCTGGCGAGTAGGAGACTCGCCCAACAGATGGCGCTATATGCCACAATATTAATACGCTACTTGACTTATATCTAATTTTACAGCATATATGAGTATTTCTTTGGCTTAGGAAAACAAAATATACCAATTTCAATTTGTAATAGTTCAAGATGGATATATATGTCCAATTTAAAACAAAAACATATTTTTTATTTTTAATATGAAACATTAAAACACTATCGGCCATGATGTGACGTCATACAAATTGTAAACAACGAAACGTCATCTGTATGTCACTCGTGGACTAACGTTGATTTCCTTAAATATTTCTTAAAAGTCCTGATCAATGTAAAAAGTTATCGTTTTTTTCATTTTATTGGAAAAACAATCATGAACGTTGGATTTGTAAAAGCAGAAAGCATAAATTTGCCGAAAATTGACACACTGATTGATGTTCGGTAATTTTTGTACCTTCAACCCAGATTTCTGCTCTACTAAGTTGAAAAACATACTTCTATGTAAGTACAGTGCATCTGATATAGAGATGGACATAAAAAAAGAATAATTAATACACTTACAAAATCTTCTTTTTCAAATGTCAGTCAAAACTAAGCTCACACGTCATAAATAAGTGAAATAAGTCCCGAAAATAAGGTATGCACCAAGCTATACTCTGTGTTGCGTACATTTATTTCCTTAGGCACTCTAATCCACATCTTGCAAACTAGGTAGTTTTTAGGGCGCAAACAGTCATTCCACGTTTGCTCACTAGGATCGTTGTGAACGTCCATCTAAGGAGGAATCACTCAACTAAACTACACGCATTATTGGTTGCATATGTTTGGTGAGGCCAAATGGTCCTTGTCTGTAGCTTTTATCTCTGAGAAGAAAGTTGGTTGAATAGCAAGATCGCATCTGGATGATTATGTGCATTGGTCTGCATGTGTATAAAATCAATGATATTTGCTGTGTGAGAAAATCATCACTGAATATGCTGCCAATAAAGTATATCTATTGGCTATATGCCCGACGGGTTATTTTTATGTTGTGCTTTCTGAAGAGAGGTTATGTTCAAAGTTATAAATTACGAAAAACTGTGGCGAATTCAGTGAATATACTTATTTCTAATCTCTCTTATTTATGAAATTCAGAAGATCTGTTTATGTAATTTCCAGAATGAATAAGAAAAAGTGGATGCGCAACTAATTTCTAGCTTTGAATCTCAATTAAGTGTATTTGAGACAAGAACTCAATGTAATGATCATCAACACATACAACTTACAGCTTAGACCTCCAGCAATGCCATCTCAGAAGCAGATTTTACATTACATCAGAGCCAAAGATTAACAACAAGCCTCATGACGCTTAGGCAACACGTACAACTAAGTGCTAAGTTAATATCTTGTAGAAAAACCTACATAATGTCAAGAAAAAATCGGCATAATGTCACATTCCAAGATACGTGATACCCGTGCCGACAGGAAGACTGACACAATTTTTGTACTATAAAACAAAATTCGTATTAAAAATAATCGTTACCTGGACTGGCTAAATAAAAGGGATCCTTAGTCAAGTCTGGACAATCCACAACTTCACACTTAACTTCAGCAAAGTTGGACTTCAAACTTTCATTCAAATCTGCAAGAACATTGCCTGTCACTTGCGGTTAGGGCCATATCGTCAGACATTTCTACAATTCTAGGACGCCTTTATTATGGTATCCTTGATTTTCATAGTTTTTCCGCTTCTTCAGAAAGGCGCACTATTTTGTTACAAATTTGCATCAAATTGTTCATGCTTTTGGTTTCTATCATCTGACGCTGACACTGAACACAGCAAATCAGTAGAAATCTAGAAATACCCCAGCCTTTCTGACCGATAGAAAATACTATAAAAATGAAGGCGTCTTACAATTATTGTAGGAACCACTGACGATACTGACAAATTTTCAAGAAAAAGACATTTTGAAAGCTTTGACAGACCGATTCGGCTTTTGGCCCAGAACAAGAATGTGATAATATGAATTTTTACTGTATGTTTGAAACTCCTTGAAATAATAGGTAGTACGCGGCACTTTGAAAAAAAACTTACAATCTGCAATTTCATGTAAAGGCGGGACATGCAATGGTTTTGCCTCCAATGGCAACTTTGAAGCATCTAGAGCCATCCTGTAACAAATGAAACTGGAATAGAAAACATTTGAAATATACAGAATAAAAAAGCTTACCTTGTATAGATACGCTTTCTTACGAAACAGATATATCGACGGACGATATTCAAATGAAGTTCGAGAATCTAGATAGAGCTCATTATCAAGGCAACATTAAACGGGTCAAATAAGTTATCGTTAACAAGCGATTATGAGAACAATACATTAACCTTTATCACCACCAAACCCACATTGTTTTTATAATACTATTTACAAAAAATTGTAGATATACATAATCCTTGCGGTATTCTTATTTTGAGTAAACAGATATCTTATCAGTTTAGGATAATGTTATGTCAAATTATGTAAAGGTGCACTAAAAAATTCACAATACTGGAATATTAACATATATTTTATGCAGCCTGCATCTCTATGGCAAATAAATTCAAGTAAATGTGAATCTCAAATCATCACCCGAAAAAATAAAGTCTTATTTTCATCTTATTGATCAGACTTCACAATAATGGAGTTCTAAATTAATGCACCTTGTCGGTAATAGGAGAACATCAAAATTTAATGACAATTTTCATAGCACTTTGGTGCAGAATTTTGTTTTTTTATCTATTTTACGTGTTCGACTGTACTATACTATAACGTCTATCTAAAAACTCTGTTCGAGATACGCTATCGTGACACTAGCCACAATCTTACAGCTTGGCAACATCGCTGTAATTTTAACAGCGTTGCACTAAACAAGAGGCAAACAAAGGAGGAAATCTGCAGCCACGTTGCCAAGCTTTTAAGCTTTTATTGTAACGCTGGAATTTATATTTTATTAGAAAATGATACTCGCCTACATTATGTATAATTAGAATTTGTATTGACGATTATTTGTATTGTTGTCGTGGATTATAATTTTGGTGCATTGCACGCTGGAGCTCGATGATAAGGTAAATCTAGGCGCCGTAAGTAACTAGTTGTTTTTAGTAGCAATAAGCTCACTTAAGATTTTTTCAAAAGTGAATTTCGTTGTAATGCAGTAAAGGTATCATTGAAATAATCAAGTAACATTTTGAGATATCCCTGATGGGTTGCTCAAATGAGATTTTATTATTTTTATCAAGATATCAAGAAAATCGTGTCAATACATTTGGCAACATAGCACAAGCATCAAGCGCATACGCAGGTAAAAGTCCACTAAAATTGTTGGCTGTTTGACGACTTGGCGTCCCATCCCCAACAGTACCCATAATCACCATTTTGTATTTTACCGAATGCTAATTACGGTTTAAATTTACTCTGTTTTTACTGCAAAAATATTCCACTTCCCATGCAAATAGTGACAGTGAAATAAGTGCAAGTCAGTCCCCTAGCTTGGGTAAGTGAAAACTCCGCTACATCTCATATCTGTTCGTCATTAGAGACTCCAATCAATACTTTGATGTTTAGGGCGTTGAAAAGCCGTTCAAGATGTCACGATATGGTTCGGATTGCAAAGTTTACGTCGGCGACTTGGGAAGTAGCGCTTCCAAGCAGGAAATCGAAGATGCTTTCAAGTACTACGGCCCCCTAAGGAATGTTTGGGTGGCTAGAAACCCACCGGGCTTTGCGTTTGTCGAGTTCGAGGACCCCAGAGATGCAGAGGACGCAATCAGGGGCTTGGGTGGGTATAATGTGAATGTACTTTGCTTTTTATTAATTCGGTTAATTTGTTAGATGGTGGTAGAGTGTGTGGGCGCAGAGCAAGAGTGGAGAGATGTACGCCCTCTGCTTTTAGCGTCTGCATTTCAGTATCTTTCATGTATAGAAATATCGCGTTTTTGTATTGAGATGCTAGTCATTTTGTAGTATTTACCATTTTTTTTTGTCCCTATCCAGTTATCTTTAACGATTTATTTAAAATACATGTTTTTGTAACTGAAACCTTAAAATCAATATCTGCAGTTTAATGCTAAAAATAGATTGTGTATCCAAATATCTTTCTCTCTCAGTTTGATATAACAGTGGTTTACAGGCAAATATAAATATAACCTATTTAATTCTTCAAAGCTTTTAAATCCTGATTTTTCGTCAATGTCCAAATAGATTGAAGTCAGGAAAAATCTTTGAGTTCAATTCTCCACATGATGGGGTTGGTATTTGAAAATAGGGATTAGAATTTTTTCTCATTTTTGGATTACAGTGAACCCTCAAAAGTGCTGCTTAAGTGAAGCAACAGCAATGGAGCATTTTCATTCATATCAATTACATGACTAGAGAAAAGCATGCAAACTACTCATTTTTGTTTCAAAATGCTCATTTTTCATCAAGTGGTCAAATGCGCAATTTGAGGTTAGAAAAAGTTTGAATTTTTAGCAGGCATTTCTAAATTGTTATTGAACTAAATTATGTAATATTCCCTGTAGGACCCTAACCTTTAAATAACAGTGGGACAACTTGAATAACTTGTTTTGATGGAGTAATAAATAACTCTTTTTGCGGCAATCTCTATTACTTTATGAAACCAGATGTTATTCTCAAAACCTGTATTATCTTTTCCACAAGTATCTATTATGGTAGAATAATATTTCAAAATTTCCTATATTGACAAACGACAAATAATTTGGACATATCTGTCAATACCAGGTAGATAGAGCTGTATTTTGTTTTGGTTTTTTGTATGTTACAAATTCATTTTGTACTTGCTAACAATTCCTTAATTTAGAAAAGTTCATTTGCATACAAAAATGCTAGATTCAATATTCTCAAAATTACAGACTAATACAAACTCTTGGTGATTAGGTGTCCACCTCAGTAGAATTCAAAATGTGATACTCATGAAATAGGGTTTAAATTGCTTTATAGCTTTTTATATAACTGATTTTTGGTGCATTTAACCCTGCGTTAGTTGCGTGGGTGACAGGAGTCAACCACACCTACATTTGCACTGACTGGATTTAATTGGCGTGGTATTGTGGCGCCATCGTCTATGTTCTTTCTCTACTTAATCAATAAAAAAGAAAGTGAATCTGATCTGTATGTCTTATTTTTCATTGTCTATTAAAAAAAATTTGTTTTTGCCAAAATTCGGCAGCTAAATATGGTTGACACCTGTCCCTCACGCGCCCAACAACGTCACACGTATCCACGCGCCTAACCCAGGGTTAACATAGTTGACATTTAGTTAGACAGGCTCCGAGTAATTTATTAATATTAATTATTGAATATGAAGAACCTAGGAAGATATTATTTGCTGAGAATGGCTGCATGCACAAACTTTTGATAAACATCAAAGCAGATGTTCATTTTTCTGTTCTCCATACTTGTATGTTGTGATTCTTGGTCACTTTAAAATATGACATGAGACTGATGATTTTTTACATGTGAATATTATTTTTTTATGATGCGTTACAATCATTAATGTTGAAAGCATAATGTTTGATAATCTAAATGTATTTGATGCTTGAAATGCAGATGCTAAATGATCACACGTAAGTAACAGCTTAGAGTCAGTTCCCAGTACTTATACAAAAAAAAAAAACAGTAGTTAGATGTCTCTGATTCCATATAATCATTTTCATAAACTGCTCTGAAGTCCTTTCAAGTATTATACTAACAAAAGTGTTATTCAAAGCACCATGATTGTTGCAACAGAAATTTTATCTGTTCTGTATTATTGTTTGTACTGAAGAGAATTTTAACAAGTAACAATTTCGGGAACTTATGACATTACAATAAATAATATAGAATGCGATTATCTGATCGGTTAAAAGGACATTGCATGAAGCAGAGTCTAAAATTAAGCACGTTGAAAAATCCTGAACGTGTTCTTAGTGTCTTGACTATGCAAAACATCTGCAATTTTTTTTATAAATTTGAACTATAGCTATATAGTTTTCTGTACCCAGAGACATTAATCATCGCTCAGCATCTGCCTCATTGTTAGTTCATTTAGATGAGATTCAGCAGAAGAGCTAAAACATACTCTAGATAGTACCAAGATTTGACTGCTACTGAACCATTGATATGAACAAATAAAAAACTAAATTTTCTGAGTATATTAGTAAATATATTTTGAATTACCATAATATGACCAGAAACTCTAGAACCACTCAAAAAGGATGTTTCACATTTTTTCCAAATTTTGACTCATTTTTTTTTATCACGTGACAATAGGTTGATTACCAATTTTAATAAATTATTGTGTGATGTAGCACCAAAAGGTGGTATGCAACCTCTCTTAACTGTAAGGTCTTTGACAGATGGTCGTACAATATGCGGTCGTAGAGCTAGAGTAGAGCCATCTAGCGGCAAAACGGGTCGGTTCCGCGGTCCCCCACCCCGTAGCAGTAGGGGTCGACCATTCCACCCCGATGACAGGTGTTACGAGTGTGGCGACAGGGGCCACTATGCCAGAGACTGTCGAGCCAAGAAGGGGGGCGGTAGACGCAGGTAAGGATCAATTCCAGTAAAAGGTTGTTGACTGTCTTATGTAGGATGTTTTGGAAGCAAGTGATGATATAGTATAACAACGACTAAGCTCTTTACAGTTTTGTCACGTGTCAATCTGATTTCTTACTACCCTAATCTTCCCCTGATAATGCTAACAGCAAAACACTTGTAGAGTATTAAAAATATTGATCAGTGGTAAAACTGTCTAGTGTTTTTAGAACAGTTTTGGGAGGTCAGTGATACAGTCAAGTTAGTAGCTATAGTACCTATGTTAGACATTCTATATTGTGGAGTGTATTTATGAATTTTCAAATACAATTTTTTTAATGAGAAGAAAATATGGTTAAATAGTAATGCATAATACTTAAGATACTACAGAAAGTGGCTTGTAGCTGTTTATTTAAAATGTCAGAAATATCTTTGGAGAAAATAATTTTGTATTTTTTGTCACTGACTGTTGAGGCATGGGAGCATTTTTCTATTCTCCAGATACCATTTAAATGATTGCTTGATTCCAAAATATTCTCTATGCCACTGATTGTTAGTTGTTTTAACACTGGGTTTAGTATAATTGTGTCACTTGAGTTTTGTATGAAGCTCTGTAATTTTTGCTATGGTGTGAAATTTATGATCTAAATATTAAGTATATTATTGCTGACTTGTACTTTAAATTGATAGCATTATCTATTGCATTTATATTTGCTGCATTGTTCAAATTGAATAATGATGTATAATTAATATTACAACATACAAAAAGCATGATAACCAAACTCATTTGATTCAGTTATGTAGAACTGAATGTTAAGTGCACTATCAGAATTTATGATTTGTCATGATTGCTGCTATTAAAAGTCCACTTGTTTTTAATTATCACTATCAATAGCATTTCTATTAGTTGATTCCCTCCAAACATTTTTCCTTTTTTTATGGTTGCAATCGAATTTTTGATTACGACTGGAATGCAACCTGTATATTTTTGTTTCTTTTCATGTGTTTTACTAATTTCTAAAGTCATTTTGGATTGTCCCTCGAATATAATTATAGTTTTTTTACATATAACTTCAGCGATTAGAATATATCTTGTTGATAGTGCATATATCTAGTGCAAAATCTGATTGTGGGTATTATTCTTCATTTCGTTTTTCAAGAACTAAGGTCAGGTATTTAGCATTTTCCAAATTAAGTTCATAAATAGACTTATAACAGAAAACTATTTAAAAAAACCAAAAAGATGCGTTAACAATGATTGTTTTTTGTGTTTAAAACCAAGTGATTGCAATAAGTTTCATGGATATAGAATTATGTACTCTGCTCTAGTCATTTAAAAAATGAGTTTCTTGCATTACTATGGTAATTGGATGTAATCATGATAATGATCTGATTGAATCACGATTTTAATCTGAAAATATTATATAAAGTGTAGATTCTGCCTATCAAGGACTTACTTTGAGATGTGTAGATGTTTGTACACTATAACTCACTTCAGAGCGATTCTTTCTCGCAATGAAGGCGAGCTGAAATAAAGTACATAAAAATGCTATTGTTCCCGCTATTCGCCGGCAGCGAAGTGCATAGTGGGGGAATTGAATGAATCGCCACACAGACGTTGGTTTGTGTCATGTGTGGTCAACCGAGGCCTGGTAGATGTGCAAATATTTCGCAGCCATTTGCCAGATCAGTTTGAAATTCAAATTGATCGTATTTGCTTTGTAAACACTGTAATGTCTGTGTGACATATAGGAGCTACCATAGGAATTGGGGATCCATTGATACGTTTTTTGAACTTCCATCAATTGTGGGTGGCATGATTTCACAACTGAAATTGATTTTTATATGGTTAAGTCATCGCCAAAATTACGGAGCATATTTCAATCGCTAAGGTTATGAAGACGGGGTTGTGTGACTTGGTCCATGATCAATCGCATAGTTTGTACAATGCAGAAAACTCATTGTTGACGCATCATTCATTCATGTTAGAACATGTCAGCTAACAAAATCGACGATCAAAAGGAAATTGGCTTGACTGTGCTGCCATGTTTATAGGTTAAGAGTCTGTGGCCGGTAGAGAGAGAAACCGAGGCAGACAGATAACGCGCGGTCAAGAGCTACTAAAGAGTTGCTAGCAAACACAGTCACACAGTCTCAATCGTCCTACTGACTACTAGTTGTTGTCTCCCACTGACCACTGCGCACGCTCAAGTGATGATCACCGGTCGCACTACCTCTACTACTACTACAGTACTACAGAGTACCACTACTACTGCTACTACTACGTGTGTCAGCCTGTTGGTGCCAGTGAGAGATAGCATCCCAATTCATCCCCTAGTACTACAACTCTAGCTGCTGTCAGCTGTTCTCCTCTACCGATGATATATCTCGTCTGCGCTAGCTACTAGTTACGGCAAAGTCACATATCTTCAATCTACAGCGTCTCTACCAACCCTACTACTCGTTGTGTGTGTGTATCGAGACACGGTCAGACTCAAGTTGAACGGTAAAAAAATCATTTAAATTAAGAGTAACGTTTTTATTTTAACCCTTCTCTTTCTCTCTTGACAGGTGGCTTTGGTATACGAGCGAGACTTTTTTTGACAGTAGTTGGAAGTTTATGCAAATGTATTTTAACGCATTTGAGCAACTTTCACTTAACATTAAACTACACTGGAAGATATTTCCATTTGGCCAGACTTTCTTAGTAGGAGCCACTCAAGCATTGCGTAAGCAGAATTTTTAGTTATTAACCCCCCTCCTCCACATTCTCAACTAAAGTAAGCAAATCTCTAAATGGGGGCTGCTGTTTGTGTCCAAATCAAAATCGACAAAATTTTGTTGACAATACGAAAAAGTAAAAAAATAAATGATGCTAAGGTAATTACTATCCACGGCCCCCTACCCCACGTCATCAAAAATAAGCAAAGTTCCCCCTGCCCGCATCAGTGCTTACATCATACTTAAGTGGTTCCATAGCTACACTTTGTGCAGTAAGTTGCATATATACTAAGTGACATATAAATCCGAACACCCAGTTTAAATGGTTTTATTTTAATAAAAGTTGGTGAATGTATTTATCTTACTGTAAATAACAAGTGAAAAAATTTTCAGCGTTATCAGTTGGACATTCCGGTTTTTATACTGCCTTTTTTTAATTCACTAACGCTCTAAAAATGAATATTTCAGCCGCAGTAAAGAATTAACGTTGCCGGATTTTGGTTCTTGACATCCTTTACGATAGGTTACGATGCCTAGAGTACGGAGACCTGTACGATTTCGTCAACTTAGTGAGTTTGATAGGGGCCGTATAGTGGGATTTCGGGAAGCTGGACCTTCTTTTCGGGCAATTGCAGTTAGAGTGCAAAGAAGTGTAGACACTGTGGTTAGGTGTTGTCAGGCATGGCTTCGAGAAGGCCGTACGCAAAGAGCAAGGGGCACTGGACGCCGCCGTAGAACAACAGACCGTGAAGATCGCCGCCTAAGATTATTGGCCTTAAGGGACCGTTTCTCCACTACCAGGTCCATTGCAAATGAATGGTTTGCAGAACACGGAAGACCTATTGGCATGCGAAGTGTTTACCGACGAATGAGAAGTTTTGGCTTGTTTTCATACCGGCCACACTGGGTCCTCCCTTTAACTCTAGATCACCGACGTAATCGCCTTGAGTGGTGCAGACAACGGTCACTCTGGGATCAGGAATGGAACAGTATTGTCTTTAGTGACGAGTCTCGATTTTGTTTAGGCATGCACGACGATGGTCGTGCCAGGGTTAGAAGGCGACGTGGTGAAAGGAGGAATCCACAGTTTTTTGTTGAAAGACATGTTCATCACACTGTTGGAGTTATGGTTTGGGGTGCTATAGCTTATGGTTCCAGGTTACCTTTAATCTTCATCAGAGGTAACATGAACGCGCAGCGTTATATCCACGAAGTTCTAGAACCCCATCTTTTACCCTATCTTGACATCCTGGCAGATCCAACTTTCCAACAAGATAATGCCCGACCACATGTTGCAAGAGTCACAATAGACTTCTTTCAGCATAATGATGTCACATTGTTACCATGGCCACCAAGATCTCCCGACTTATCCCCAATTGAGCACGTGTGGGATATGATGGGTAGGAGATTGCTCAATTTGCAACGTCCTCCTCAGACTCTAGAAGCACTTCGAGAGGAGTTGGTGGTTGCCTGGAATGAGATACCACAGGAGGACATTGACCACCTGATCAGAAGCATGCCTAGGCGCGTTGGAGAATGCGTAGCACATCAGGGTGCATCTACACATTATTAAAGGTCAAAGGGCTTTAAAGCAGTGCAATCATTTTGAAATTTTTATCATTTACTTATTATGCTTCATTAAGTACTTATACAAAATTTTATTAAAATAAAACCATTTAAACTGGGTGTTCGGATTTATATGTCACTTAGTATAGTAATAATTTATTTACATCAATTACAAATTTTGAATAAAATAAAGTCAAACATCTTAATTGTGATTTTTAATTTTATATGTGGGCTTCCAACTCTGTTCAAGAAAATTGGCAACGTTTTCAAGTTCTGTATCCAAATTAACTAATTTTTTGAGGACGTTTAAACTACAGCACTACCATCGTAAATCCTGAGACATCGAGTGTATAAATTTGATTTTAAAACAATTAAACATGTTGTTTGAGATTGTTGCAACTTGAATAGTTAAGGTTAATTAAAAATTGTTTTAAAATGAAAACATTATCTGTCCTGCATCTCAGGATTTTGCTTCAAATCTTTTACACATTAATCCCATATATTACAGAATAAAACTTTATAGTTTTTTTCGAAAATCAAGTACAAAAAATTGCGCTAGCATTTAGCAAGTTGATTTTTGGACAGGTCAAACTTCCAGACATAGGCACACACATTCCATAATAATTTAAAAATCGTTTTGCCAAACCATCAGAAGCATTTTCTGTCTTCGTTTTGTATTCAATACTCTGGCTATCCATACAGGCCTTTGTTGGGAGTTCACACAGTGTTCTTGTAAAAATAAGCCAGGTTTTCCTGATCTGCAAAAGCAGTTTTAGAAAGCGTTGAATTTGGCACATTTGAAGATCTAGACAGCCTTGAATGTCGCACAAGAAGAAATAATAAAAATTTTCTATATGGCAAAAAATCCTGAGTATTCCCAGCGCTCACCAAAACCAATATGCACAGTTAAGCTGTGTTAGAATTATAAGTTGCCTATGGTCAACGATTCGCGCAACGAGTTGCCAGGTGTAATGTCCTATGTCTGCCCGAGTTGACTGGGCCGTTTCAATTTTTGCGTCTATGCGTGTGGGGCTCGTATGATTTTGCAGCCGTTCTAGGAGCCGTTCGAGGGACCGCCGCAGTCGTTCCAGGAGCGCGTCCAGATCGCGTAGCCGTTCCAGACGTTCCAGGAGTCGCTCCGCGTCGAAGAGGAGCCGCAGCAGGTCGCGCAGCGCCAATGAGAAGCGCTCGCGCTCCAGGTCTAGGAGCAGGAGCAGGTAGGTCAAAGTGGAAGGACATGACATTTTCATGTCATTTCTTTTTATAACCCGTTAGTACATTGGTATTTTCACGGTTTTTGGCGGGTCACAGTAGAACTGCAGGAATTACTTTTATACATCCATCTCCCTCACACATACATATGCAATCGGCCTCTATGCCCGGGCGGTTGTTTGTGTGGTTTCTAATAGCCGCTATATACGATCCAAAAAATTGAACGATTTTTTTAACTTTGAAGAAGTTGGAGCGTGTAAACATGAAAATTGTTGTCAATTCTAGTTACTTACTTACTACTGGTTCTGTTTCCTAGATAGCAATTTTCGTTATTTGACGGGTTCACGTTTTGTGATTTGATATTAAATTTGTAATCTTAACAGTTTGGCTTGGCGCTTTGGTTTTAATTTATGATTTAATATTCAACAGAAACAATTGGTATATAAATATACTGTCACTGCTTTAAACATTTTCAAACTGGCACACATCTTGATATCATTATTTAATTTATTAAATTCCTACAATCCTTTTTGAAATTCTGATGTTTGCTATATTGCTATTACAATTTTGTAAATGAAAGTCTATACTCCCTCTAGTAGAATAACTATGGTGGTACTCGTTGTTCAATCAAATGAAATTAATTGATTTGGTTGATGATCTTTAACTTGAATATGAAAATAAAAACCAAGTAGAATATGATTTTTTTTTATGTTTAACCTTGTAGCTCTTTCAGCATAAGATTTATCCTGGTATATTTATTTTTAGGATGATTCTCATAGCTTTATTTTGTAATATTTGTGATTTTGAAAATACAGTTTCATTTGCAGTGAACAAAATAGTCGAACAATATAACAAATGAGGAATAATGATAGGTTATAAACAATTTTTTAAGAATAAACGGCTAGCATAGTCCCCTTAACATTTTAATTTACTAAATACATTAAATGATTTTTTTCGCAAGTAAGCGGTTTATACTAAGCAATAATTTATGAATGAAAACTAAGTAGTGATATTTAACCAAATCATTTATTTTTAATCAATTAGATAGGTTTTCTGCGCAATACTTTTGACATGTCCGATAAATCTCAGCTCTGTGTCAAAAAGAATACCCAAGAATTTATATGCTATTCGGAGAATTGTGTTTTGATTACCTATTTGGACCTTCAAGAGACGTTAGGCCATCCTTTTTTTTGGTACAAAATGATGTTTTAGACTTTTGAGGGTCGACAGCCAAATTATGATCAGACGAGTATTGGATTAAGTTATTAACATCATTTTGTAAAACTTATACAGTATTTTCGACATTCTGGGGATTAAAATTATGTAACAATTGCGTATCGTTTTCGAAAGATTATATATATAATGTCGATTCATCAACGATTTTGTTCGTCATAAGTATATATTAGAAATAATACCGGTCCGTCCTAACACAGAGCCTTGAGGCCTGTCTTGCGCAGCGATTTCCCTTAGAAAAGTCAAGCTACGCACATTGTACCATGAATCAGTCTGTTTATTTATTTCGCAACGCATTGTGACGTAACTGCCAAAAGCCAAAAACCATGAACAGAACCATAGTTTTTTTAATCAAGAGAATTTAGGAAGCCTTCATATTTTTGGTCGCGTTCATATCATCAAAAAATGATCATATGATTCACAGAAGATTGCCATGATTCGTGTCTAAATGGCATTGTATATTATTACATACAGTAATGGACAAAAATCTATAGACAAATATGAATATTTACCTAAGTACCTTTAGAAAACGAATTCATACTTCATTGCTCCATAAACAAATGCTTTATTAGTAGAAAAACTAAAATTCCTTGTTTTTACATTATCTGCAATAAACACAAGTCTGAATATAAGCACTTTTTTATGAGGGACAAAAATATGTAGACAAATTCTTTTCAACATTAGTTTAGTACAGTTTCGTGCCAGAAGAGGATTAGTTTGTGTTCATCAAGTATTGTGGAATAAGTTGAGTGATTTTAAGACCATGCCGCATGGTCCAGAAATTTCTTTCGATGTGAAAACTAAGATTGAGTTATACAAAGATGGTCAACGTCAAGTCGACATTGCCAAAAATTTGAAGCTGAAGCGTGAGCAGTTTGGGCAATATTGAACAAATATAAACAGAAAGGTATCTTGGAAGCCTTTAAGAGAAGTGGTCGGCCTAGAAAACTAATTGCTAGATCAGTTAGATTAATAAAAGTAATTTCGTCCAAAGATCCGTTTAAAACCCCAAGACTAATAAAAGCCGAAATCATGACAAAAGGAATTATCAGTGTTCCTACAAAAACTATAAGTAGAAGATTAAATGATTTGAAGTTATTTGCACGTCGCTCGAGTAAGAAGCCGCTAATATCGAGGAAAAACCGTAATGACAGATCACAATTTGCACGGTTGTATCTTGATTGGAGCATCTGTGACTGGAAGAGGGTATGTTTCTGTGACGAATCCAAGTTCAATATGTTTGGATCAGATGGTGTTCATCACGTTAGACGCCCTAGTGGTCAAAGATTGAACCCCAAGTACACTTTGCCCACTGTCAAACATGGAGGCGGGTCTGTTATGCTTTCTGGGAGCTTTTCGGGGTTCGGGATGGGACCTTTACATAGAATAGATGGCATTATGTATAAGTTTGTATACACAGACATACTAAAGCATGTCATGTTACCCTATGTGGAAGACAATATGCCCTTAAGATCAATCTTCCAGCAAGATAATGACCCGAAGCACACTTCTCGCAATGAAATTCTTTCTGGATGAAAAAATACCAGTTCTCAAAAGGCCTTCAGATATAAACCCCATTGAAAATCTATGGGAATACTTAGATAAGTAAATACGAGATGAAATTATTCAAACAAGGACGAACTTTTTGCCGCTTTAGAGCAAAAGTGGAGACAGGTTGATGAATCTTATATATCAAGAAACTTCTACAATCTATGCCGAGACTATGCCAGGCGGTGATTGATAATGATGGTTATGCTACAAAATATTAACACAAACATTTTCTATAATTCAATGAACTTTGCTTATTTTTTTCTGTAATTGTTTTGCTTTATCTATATATTTTTGTAATTCATAGTTCCAGTTTTTTCAATTAATTTTTTATTGAAGGGAGTGTAATGAATTTATTTATGCATAAGTGAGTATTATGCTATAAAGAATCATGTATACAGGTTGGTGTATTAATAAAACAAGTCAAAAAAGAAATACAACACAATATTAATTTGTCTATATACTTTTGTCCATTACTGTATATTGTTTCCCCTGGGCGACGCTAGTGTGGTTGGAGGTCAAACCGTCAAAAGTAGATGAGAAGACGACAGAAGATAACCTATTTTTTACGCAACGCGAAAGCGTCAAAATGAAATATCTACGTCATATTCATTCAATGAAAGCGGCATTATGAATGCTAATTGTCAAAACACGCCTTCAGGGATCAACATGCTTAGTATGTAACATGCGACTCTTACAGTGGTATGAATAAACGACGCGCCGTTCCTCAAAGTATGATTCCGATGCATTGTTTCTTGGCGTTTGCAGCATGTCGCCGGTGATCGCCTATACCCTATTTCACGAATATCCATCACGCTTTGACGTGTACTGAGGTGAACAGCTGATCAGCAAGTGACATTTTTGTGTTAGTCTGCAACGTTGGCAATGATGGATCGGGTATAAATGTAGTGGCGTTTGGTTTTTGTATGCAAATGAACTTTTCTAAATAAAAGAGCTGTTAGCAAGTACAAAATGAATCTGTAGCCTACAAAAAACCAAACAAAATTGGGGACTTTCTAACTGCCGTTGACGGATCCGTCAGAATTGTGCCGATATGGGGAATTTTGAGATATTACTAGATAATCGGCGATATTCTACCGTAATGGATACTCGTGAAATAGGGTATATGCATACCAGTGTTAGGATACGCTTTTATCTGAAAGATTTTGGTAAAATTGGACAAACACTTATTTATATTATAATCATTCATGAAAGGCGTTAGTCTCGAGTCGCTGAACTATTAAATTTTTTTAAGGCAGTTATTTATGAATCTATTGTTATTTATTTTATTTCTTAGGTCACATGCAAAGGAGAATGGCAATGCAGGAGGAAAAGACTAGGTCATGGGAGAGAGATTTAAGTTTAAGTTGACTAAATATTTCCAGTAATTTCAATGATAATCCTTGTAGTTTCACTGATGCTTTTTGTAATACATTGATGTTCGTGTGTATTCTTTTATATCATTATTTTTCCCGAAGTTCCCATATTTTACTTAGAAAACAGAAGATAATTTTTAAGGGCGATTATTAAAAGTAAAAAGGGAGGGGGTGTGGCGGGTGGCGGCTGGTTTCTGCATGCTTGAGCATAGCTTCCTAGTGCAATTGTAGGACGCCTTTATGGTCTCCTTGATCTTCATAGTTATTCCTGTTCCTCAGTATCAGCGCTCTATTATGAGATTATGCTACAAACATCTATTTGCATCAAATTGTCCATGCGACTATACCATGTGTTTAATCAGCCTGAAATTTCCTACTCCTCAAAAAGAAAGCATAATCTCATAATAGGGGAACGCTGACGCGGATAAATCTAGAAATATACCAGCCTTTCTGAGGGAGAGAAAAGGCTAAGAAAATCAAGGACGCCATAAAGGCGTTCTACAATTATTGTAGGAACGACTGATGATACGGCCCTTAAATTATATTTTTAATATAAATCGATCCGAAGCCGTGTGGAGAATTGACTAATTCTCAATTGAAAAACTTATGTATTGTTTGCGGGTATACTGGTGGTTTTTATCAGAAACAACCTTCCTCAACACATAAACCAGTTATGAATTCCTGCCATGGTTATCACAATAATTCATTTTTCATAAAATCATGATTAATAGCATTCATATTGGTGAAACAAGCATAGTGAGTTTCATAATAGGTTTTCATAAATTGGGCATTGAAAAGATAATTTCATCTGCGGTTGCACAATATCCCCACTATATTACCATGTTCATCTCGAAGATAAGCCATAATAATTATTTGTCTGGTTATTACACATTTCATATTTCCAAAGTAATCTGATTCAATTAGGTTAGTCTAATTTCAAACAGTTGATGTTTAATAGTAGATAGTGATTCTAAGAGAATAAATCGTTTTGGATAAGATGGCCACTGTGGAGAGAGCATTGAATGTTTTGTCCTCTTTCTATACATTGTTGTTTGTGTTTTGCATATTTGTAAGCTTAGCACAACATGTATATGCTGATGATTCTTCTAGTTCACTGGTAAGTTATTTTAGGATTTGCATTTAAAATTACAAAAATTCCAAAATTTTACGCGTTTTGGAATATTAAAAGCATCATTAGGTCAACAATCATACTAGATTATACCTATGTCAGTGTTCAATGAAACTCTTGAAACTAATCCCATTGTTTTCATTCGTATAGGACTCGCATGTTGTCTGCTGATCAAATGAAATCACATATATCTTAATCACTTTTTTTTTACTTACATTTTGGCCACCATGGTGGACTTTTTCAATGAATTTTATTAACATAAAAAAATGTCAATCTCATTTGCAACAAGGAAAATGAGATTTCAACATTATGTGTATCTAAATTTTTTTATCTAGTGATATGCCAAACATTATTGAGGATATGTTCTAATTTTGTTCATATCGGTAACATGGTTGTTGTGTGAATGCATTGATTTAGCATCAATATTTTTTTTTGTAAAAATTACCCTGCAGTCGTTGATTTTTTGTTTGGTAATGGGGTTCATTTGTACCTTGTTCTATAAACAAAATGTTGTCTTTGTAGTTTGTAAAGGCTACCAATTGTGGCCAAAACATAACCAAAAAAGTGATTCAGATATATTTTAGTTCCATTTGGACAGGCAACATGGGAGTCCTTTGAGGCTATATTATCATTTTTACATAATGTTAAAAATTGGATGTGGTTTTTTATAAACAAGGCCTGCAGGTGGATGACTTAAATTCAATCTAATTTAAATACAAATATCTTAAAAATCAATATAGCCTTGAAACTAACATTTTCTTTATGTGAATTGTTTTATTACTTTCACAATTAATTCGAGAACATCCTATGAAGATACTTAAACCACAACACATGTTTCAATCATGATTTTTACATTTCATAGTTAATCCATCTGGCATTTTCCACATCAAATTATTTTGGTACTTGACAAAGAATATGTTTAATTATTATATAAAGCTGAGTCGACAAAGTTTGTTCGTCGTTGAGTGATAAGTAACCTTTAAAATTAGGTAAAAGACAGTATGACTGGAAAATTCCTGTATTTTGCTTATGGTAGCAATCTCTTGGCCCAAAGGATTCATATAAACAATCCAAGCGCGGTAAGAGCAGGGATAGCTAAATTGAATGTAAGTAAAAAGCCCCTATTATAATTTTATATTATCACTTACATTGAATTTGAAGGATTACAGGCTAGACTTTGTAGGACAAAGTAGTAGATGGAAAGGTGCTCCAGCAACTATTGTTCCACATACTGGGAAACACGTATGGGGTGCATTATGGGAGCTTGATAATGCGGATAAGGAAAGTTTAGATAGGTAATTTTGGCGATGCTTTTAATATAAGTAATTACGTGTTTTTTCGTCTATCATCTATTAAAATAATGGAAAAATCCATATTTTGAATGATCACATGTCATATTGGATTGGCATTGGCATCACAATTGGCAGTTGACAGTTACTACCAACTGTCATGCGAAATTGTCGGGTATAAGGCTCCGTCACTTGGATGTCTAGCGCAGTGATAGTGCTCCGACATCCAGATATTGATCAGGGACAGGGCTTCGGTGTTCAGATCTTTAGCGTAATGATAATTGTTCCCATAGCAAATAAATTAACGCGGAAAAGGCTCCGGTACTCGGATCTCTAACTTAGCGATATTGGTCCGATATCTAAACATTAACAGCTCAACAAATTGAAAAAAAAAGGTTACGAAGAAATAACATCACCGATGTGTTGATTTCAAAAATGTCTTCCTTTTTCACGGCCACTCTAGTTTTCGAGATAGAAGCAATTTAATATCTGCGGAATATGCAATCTTTGACAAAAGAAAATTAAAAAGGGAAAATTTTAATGTTGCCAAAGTTTCTGAATATCCTTCAAATATTTGTTAACAAAACTCCAAAACATTTTAATGGGGTATTATTGTTATTGTAAACCTTTGTTTTTTTAATTGCTTATAATTTAAATGATGTTTATTAAATGGTGGATGATAATGGCACAATTTTCACTTTTTTAAATAATACTCGTAAATTGCATACACTGAAATCCGAATGCCACTGACGGCGTAATGATACGCCATGGACGCCATCGTCGCACTATTTCTAACATACATATTGGAGGCTTCTCTCTCGCACACATTAAGACGTCAGCCAAATTTGAACCTCACTAGAGCTACTATGAAAACAAAGTCATCTGATAGTTAAAATACATTTAAATTACAATTCAAGAAATAATTTTCTAATAACGCTTAAAGTGTATATTGTCACGTAACCTTTGTTTTACTATTTATCACTTATCCGTAATTTGATTTCTCTTCATTGATAATAGAGTGCCCATTCCTAGGCCAAACCCTTTTCAATGATTTTCTTTTGGCAAATTTAATAGTTTATTGATTGTATAATTTTACTCGTATTATATCTTTCTTTCTCAGCGATTCAGTTTGGTGTTGACGATCAGAAAAAAACTCTGTAGTTTTTCTCCGTTAGTTGGTTTCCTATAAAACATATCTTCTTCTTGGCCACTCAAGATACGTGTTCTGCGTGATTCGCTTTTCTGTTTCCGTTGAGGTCGTGGTGCAGGGGTCGTTTCGTCGTTTTCCGGACTCTGGGATATTAGGCCCCAAGCGCCAATTTATGGACTAGCACCTTTTTTTGTGTAACTTAAGTTTAGTCATTTTAGTTTGGGTGCTACGTCTTCCTGTTCACATCAGGGTTTTTTTTTCAAGGGGATGGCTTCCACCAATTTGCAAAACTGCAACAAGATGCAACCAACTGGAGGAGAAAGGATGATGATTCTCTTCTGTTTCTGTTGACGCTGAGGGTCAAAATTCCATAAAAAATGGAAGACGTAGTACCCAAACCAAAATGACTAAATTTAAGTTACACACAAAAAAAGGGTGCTAGTTCATGAATTGACGCTTGGGTCCTAATATCCCAGAGTCCGAGAAATGACGAAACGATCCCTGCACCGCGACCTCAACGGAAACAGAAAAGCGAATCACGCAGAACACGTAACGTTCTAGAAGAAGGTATCTTGAGTGGCCTTGAACAAGATATGTTTTCTAGGAGACCAACTAACGGTGAAAAACTACTAGTTTTTTGCTGATCGTCAACACCATACCGAATCGCTGAGAAAGAAAGATATAATACGAGTGAAATTATGCAATCAATAAACTATTAAACTTGCCAAAGGAAAATCATTGAAAAGGGTTTGGCCTAGGAATGGGCGCTCTATTATCAATGAAGAGAAATTCAAATGGCGGATAAGTGATTAATAGTAAAAAAAAGGTTACGTGATTTTGGCACGTGACAATATCTATGTTACGAGCATGACATTTTTAGAAGAACCCTAATTAATTTTCAGACAAGAGGGAGTGGACGCTAATATATATTTCCCTCTAGAAGTAGAGGTCGAAAGTAGTGATGGAAAAGTGATGAGGGCTCGAACATATCGAGAAACCGCGGAAATAAAAGAATATGTAGATCTGTCAAAATTACCAGCCGAAAGACAGCCATCTACCATCTATTTGAAGACGATTTTGACAGGAGCAAAGGAATCTGGATTGCCTAGTGAATATCAAGAAATTTTGAAGACGATCTGTGATAACGGATATCAGGGAGATGTCGATATAGGAAAGTTAAACCTTATTAGTTAGTAATGTGAGATTCATATAGTAATAAAACACGCCATGAAAATACTGACAGTTTTATTTATTCTTACCTGATCAATTCCTGAGATAATTGCTTTGAAAACGAAGTCGTTTTTTGTCATTTTTCTAAAAGTTGCAGGTCTGTCAAAGTCTCTGCAATCCTTTGCCTCACAGCGGTTCAATAAGCAAAAAACCTGACCAAAAGTTAGTAAAAATGGCGTCAATTGTAAAACAGAAATAAAACGATTTAAATCAGTCAATCAGGCACAATTAGGTCATAGACACCTTTCCCTGCCCTACCGGTAGTACGGTCTATCTGGCAACGTTGCATTCCCACCCTTTGATGACGCTACTCTTCAAACGTGGCACCGTGGCAGTGTGGCGCCGGTAACCCAGTGAGAGAGACGTGTCGAAAATCTTATCATTTTTTTAAGGGGATATATATGATGTGTAGAATTACCGGGGTTGGAAGCGTATAAATATATTACTGCAAAAAACTGAGATATATCCTCCCACCCCCAACAATCTCCAGCCTCGCATTTCCAATTCGCCCAAAAATTTTTTTGCTTATGTACCAGGACCTTCTGAAACGTCAAAATATGAGGTTGAGCCATATTTATTTTTGTTTGCCTCTAGCTCCGCCACCACCGATTTACAAAAAGTACAATGCTTTTTTGTTATTGTGTGAAAATTTCAACAAAATCTGGGTAGTCGCTTCCAAGACATAGACAGGCCACGGATTAGCGGACAGATAGACGGAAATGAGTGACATCTTTCTCCGTTTTGTACATGTGACATACTCATTCTCGAAATTTTTCGTCGGTGGCGTAGGAAACAAAAAATTCGCGTTTGACACCAGATTTTGTTCCTAGGGATGCAAATTCAACGTGGCCATTTATTTTAGTAGGACCAATTCCCGGGTTTCAAAACTGAAGTGTGGGAGGGAGGCTTTGGAACTTTGCGTCCCTAGATTTTTTCGGGGATACCGGGACGGAGAGAGCAAAAAAAAAAAACGGACGGTTCCGCTCTAAGCGGTACGTATGGTCATGTATAATCTATCTTTTGGTTCACCTTAGATGGCTCTGCACACGGAATTATAGTGTATTGAATGTCGTGTCAAATGTCAAAGAGATGGGATGCTTGTGTCAAAAGTCAAAATAACCAGTTGTTTTGTGTGTGGCAACTAATAGATGCTTACGAACTGGCGATTTTCTGACCTAAGTTAAAGTTAGCTTCTGACCTGAGATAAGTGGTTTATCGTAAGCACGATTTGAAGAGAAACGTACCATACCCGTCAACTATCAAAGAGCGAATAATAAATCAAATCCAAGCGAATAACCAACATTTCTGTGTTATGTGCCGCGGTTATAATATGGTTCAAGATGACACACGGGTTGATGACGTCAGTTACATGAATCGCTTGAACGCGTTGGTTTTAACCGCGGTTTTGTTGCAAGTTATAATATATATATATATAATCTCTGATTATTTTTATTATCACTTAATAATCGGTGCTTTTTCGTCTACAACTGTACATGGAAAGTTTAAATAAGAAACCTTTCATAATATTCATGGGAGAAATGTTTTTTTCAGATTTTTTTTTCAATGATGGAACCATGGCTTTGTAGCTATGATAACTTTCAATTCTCTAAAATTTTTCGCATGTCAAAGAAAACATTTATTGATTCAGCAGAAATGATGAAAAAAGAAATTAGCAAAACCGCATACAGGTGGATATCATCTAGTGAGTTTATATGGCCATATTTTAATATTCTTGTGGTATATGGCTACACAGGATACTTTGTTAAGCATAGGAACTACATTTAAAGTGTCCCCAACAACCGTAATGAGTATAACTAATAAGGTGCTCCACTTTATGGTAAAACTGAATTCAGCCTGTATCATTTTTCTCAAAAATGAAGCTGAAGTACAATAACAATATCCAATACCCGGCAAAATTCTAACTTGTCACATTTCAAATAATAACCAGAAATATAAAACTACTTTTGAGTTGGGTAAATACCACAATTTTGCGGTGATAACTATGATATATAACAGCTGATTCGTGACGTCACGGATCTTATAATCAAACTGATAACTACACTCGCTTGAACGGATTGGTAAATACCAACCCAAAATGGTAAATAACATTTCCATTTGGTTATCCGCTTGAATTTGATTATAGATAATAATCAGTGTATATGTTTTGTGACGTATTAGACGTTGTTGGTTTGTGGTTGTTGTTTTTATTTTGTTTTAAATTCTAGTTTTAAAAATAGTGGTTTTAACTGTTCATTTGCTGTTTGGGCTTGTAACTGTTATAATTAACAATAAAACTTTTGCATACTTATTCGTCATTGTGAATAAATGATCACTTCCCTCCACAGGCGCTGATAAAGATTATTAATGATAAACTTTTAATTCGTATTTCTCCATAATTAATCACTAAATAGAGACTATGGGAAATTATTCACAAACATTGAAGATACCTAACCTCAATTATGAACGCAATCATTAAAAAACGTCTTGTTTGACGCCAACTTACACCAGCTATCTCAGACGAAAATCCGGGTGTCTTAACAGCGGGAAGGGCGAGGTAAGATTCCAAGTTGTGTCAAATCGTAAACGTCGCTCTGTTAATTTATTTAGGTTAGGTCTGAATGTGTGCTCTTCTTAAGCAACTAACATGTATAAATAAGTAGGTACATATGTATTGTACATACTTTGTCTATATCTGAAGGTAACAAACCTTTTTTTCTTAAGTTTAAAATTTTTCGTTTATTTTAAAAACATCTATATACATATACGTTTTAAGTGTCCCAGTTTGTCCGCAAAGTTGGGGTTTTCCTTTACACGACGTGTAGATCTTGAAAACATAAGCAATTTTTCTTAGTACCATATACACCAATGTCTTAAGGGAACCGAGATAAAGGGATGTGCAACATCAAAAATATCTGAATACCGTCCTGTAGCCGCGACCCGCGACATCACCGAGTGGTACAAGGTCACTGGCTCAACCCGACGACAAAACTGGGTCGGGGTCAGTGTGTCAGGTCAGTATGCAACCTTCCACCGACGGTTACGGTCACGCGTGTAGAGGTAATCGCATAGACGAGAATCCCTCAACAAGCACTAGAGACGTGGCTAGAGAAGTGCAAGTATCAAAAACTAAAGTGTGGCAAACGCTGCGTGAAGAGGGGCTATATCCGTTTCACGTACAACGTGTACAAGCCCTTCAACCTGACGATTTTCCAGCAAGAGTGCGGTTTTGTGAGTGGTTGTTGCATCAACATGACAATAATCCGGACTTTTTGAAGTGCATATTGGTGACAGACGAATCTACGTTCACGCGTAATGGGGTGAATAACTTTCGCAACACTCATGTTTGGTCAGTAGAAAATCCGCACGCTGTCCGTCGGGCACATTTTCAACAAACATTTTCGGTGAATGTTTGGGCTGGCATGGTGAACAGTATGCTCATTGGACCATTTATTCTCCCAAATCGATTGGACGGGATGCAATACTTAGACTTTTTACGCAACATTTTGCCTTCCTTGTTAGGAGATGTGACATTAAGTGTAAGACAATCAATGTGGTTTCTGCACGATGGTGCACCGCCCCATTTTAGACGCGAAGTGCGTGAGTTTTTGAATGAATGATTTCCGAATAGGTGGATCGGACGTAATGTTCCCGTAGCGTGGCCTCCGCGATCTCCAGACTTAACACCATGTGATTTTTTTCTTTGGGGAGAAATGAAACGCTTAGTGTACAAAACTGAAGTGCATACGGTTGACGAACTTCGTCTCAGAATTGAACAAGCTGGTGCTTTCATTCGGGGGAGGGACTCCATTCTCAAAGCCTGCACCGATGCTTGGCTACGTCGTGCACGCACCTGTGTTTTTGAATCAAACGGCGATAACTTCGAACAATACCTATAAAGTACGTTTACCTAAAAACTGAAAACGCGGCGACGCCGTCATATTTGTTACCTCTGTTCGTGGTCTGCACCACCGCCTGCGTCTGCTCGGTAGCGCATCAGCTGATTTCATTTTCTGTTGGAGCGGTATGATTTCGGGCAGAGACGTACTTAGCCCTTCTCGTCAACTGGAGAGTGAGTGCTTGTTCCTTTATTTTTTTTTACTTGGTCGCCCTCGTTTCACTACACATTACCTTTGTTATTTCAAGGGTAGTTGTTTCTGAAAAGGACAACCCCAACTTTGTGGACACCCTGTATATAATATATATAATAAAAAATAAAAACATAACACATACGGTATAAAAACTTTTATTAGAAATTCTAACATTAATATGTACAGTACAGAAAAATTAACGAAAAACTAATAAAAAATAACCGCTAACAACATTCAAACTTACGTAAAACATAAATAACCTAGAATATACAAAACAGCGAAACTTACGCTAAGACTATTCGAGACTCTTACAGCCGAACTTTTTTGACTGCTGTTCATTTTCCTTTCCGCTTCTTGTTGAGCTGTGTGTTCTGGAGTATGATGAGCTTCTCTTTTGGACCTCGACCCAACTTTGGACAGCCTTGTTGACCCGGACGGTGGTGGCGTGTCCAAACTTCTACTCAACGATCCCGTTTGCAACTGCGGTGCATTTTTGTTTATGAACTCTGGGTTTAGAGGCGGTAGCTCCCCTTTGAACTTTCCAAATTGAGGTCTTGCTCTGATAAACGCACTGGCCTTAGACAGTTTTGGTTCTACATTTGGTGTTCTGTCAGAAACTTTCGCAGTGAGGCTTTGCCCAGAAAGTCGCTTTCCATCGTAAGATACAACGACATCTGGCGGAGAATCAATGTTAACTGGCTCTTCTGGAGCTTCTATGTCAATGTTTGACGGTTGACTGATCCGTTGCATAGGTTTCTGTTTTTGATCGGCTGGGGGCAAATAATAAGACTCCACACGTTCTGCCGCTTCAGCTTTTTGGTCTTCCTCTATAGGATCAGGTAGACTTCTGGTATGTTTCACTACGATCTTGGTATATTCTGGAATCTGCTTCACCACAGGTCTTTTATGAACCACTTTACGTTTCGTAGGTTTTACTGGTTTATCTGTAGGAGATGGTACAAACATAGGTTCGAAAACCTGTATGGGCTTAGGCTCATATTTTTCCTCCCCATCTACTTCAATAACTCCTGTCTCTCCCTCAGGCTCTACCTGAGGTTCATCCACCTCTTCGTCCATTCGATCTTGGAAATCTTTACTGATAATGGGCTTGAAACCGCTTTCCATCTTGATAGAACCTGATCTAAACCCAATGTTGTAAGCAGGTTTTACGTAAACAGGTGTTATGTCAAGAATGGCAGGACTCGCTACGGTTTGAATTTCAGGCTCTCTTTCTGTAGAAGGTTGTTGAGGAGATATCTCTACATCATGAACTTGTCCTTTAAATTTGGTTTCTTCGACAACGGCAGGTTTCATCGTGGCTTGCTTTTGAGGTAGAAGCGTTGGTTTTGCAGGGAAATATTTGGTTTGCTCAAACTGATACGGTCTGTTAGGGTAGACAAGCTTTGGAGGAGTCCATTGGTATTTGGATTTAGGAGGGACCATAAGGTTCGGTCTGGGTGCTAGAAAAGGTTGTCTCAGTTTGATCGGATAGTGCATAGAAGGTCTGTTGTGATACACAGGCTGTCTAGAAACGTGCATTGGAGGAGGCGGTAACAAGAAGGTCTCATTCATTGTGCTGCTAGGGATAGCAACGTTGTCGACAGGTTTTTCAGTGGTGGTAGTAGTAGTTGTAGAGGTGGTGGTGGTAGTAGTGCTACTTGTGGTGGTGAGTTTGGCGAAATGGAAATTGGTGCTTTCGGGAGTTTCGTTGAGTAGCGTGCTGGGTCTGAAGTACTTGGGTGTCTGCTGCCAGAGCGGCCTGTTCCACCTGAAGAAAGGATCGTCTGCTAGAGTGCTCTGTGTGGAAGAAGTGTGCTCTGTTGGTGATGGTGGTGGGTCTGGTCGAGTTACTGGGCTCTCTGAAACAACCGCAGATTGAGCATATGTTTTAGCCGGCGCAGCCTCCTTAGAAATGTCATTTGCTTTTACCATAGTCTCCACTTGTATGGACGGGCTGTCTGCGAGATCGACGTCTGACTTGTCTTGGAAGTCGGCGGGAGGGGCCACGGCGACTTCTTGGAGGGAACTTGCGGCTGTAGCTTGACCATCGCAAGTGTCGTGGACTATGATCTTCCAACCCAGGTAGCGATGGGTGAAGCACTGAAAATATTGATAAAATGAACGTAAGAATGCTAATGACAAGATGGTACTGAGAAGCTGGCTCCAGAGCAAGCAACAAGCCAGAAAAATCGAAAGCTCGATTGACAGGAAACACGCTAAAGTACAGGGTGGCCAATATACAGGGTGACTTCGAAGTTGAGTCATTTATTTTAACAGTGAGTAGATCTGATCAAAAGAAAAGTTTTTTTCCTTTACCATTTTTCTGGTAAAATTAAAGTAACAAAGTTATAGCCCTTTCGAAGTTTGAGTACCGCCCTGTCTCAATAATAATATTATGTGCTCGTGTTTGGCGACAACGAATATAATCCGCCTTATCGGTTCATTGCATCGTAAACAAAAAAGCGAAAGAATTTGGAACGATGTTTTTACAATTATTTCATTCAGTTGTATACAGTCAGTGTCAGTCGGTAACGCGTGATTGAATAGTGGTGTCTGTTGCGTGGCTCAAACGAAATAAAAAATGGCACATATTCATGCGGATCGGTTTCCCAATCGAGTGCAACCAACCCCTCGTGCCTTTGTTAATGTAGTACAACGGGCTCGTGAATCAGGTGACTTAAGACCTCACATGGGGACGGCATGCCGGTGCTCCAAGACCTCACGATCAAATACAGGTCCGCACTGAAATACTTGTCGGGATGATACTTTATAAAACAAGGTAAACTTTTTTTTAATTTTTTTTTTATTTTTACACACATATTTTGGTTTATCTTCATTCTACAATCATTATCTGAAAATTAATGACTCAACTTCAAAGTCACCCTGTATAAGTAGTAGGTAGCGCCATAGTAGTTGTTTAAAGCATATGTATCCAATTCATCATGAAGCGCTAAACGATCCCACAACGCGTCCGTATTGTTAAAACGTTTACTTAAATAATCAGTCGATTGCTTGAGCAAACAGGTGAAGTTAAAGACTTGCCAACGTCGGGCCGTGTTCGAACTGTTTGTACCCCGAAAACTATCGAGAGAGTTCGTGAAAGTGCAGTGGAGCGCCCTGAAACATCTACAAGACATCGTTCTCAAGAACTGGGTATTCGTCGCAGGTCATTATGCCCTATTTTAAAGGAAAGACTTGCTTTTGCGGACATACAAAATTTAGTTAACCCAAGAACTACAGCCTAGTGATTACGAAATACAGTCTTCGAGTATTGTAGATTAATACAAAAAAAAAACGATTTTTACCGACAACTGATAATGAGCGATGAAGCCGACTTCGATATGAACGAATTCGTTAATAAGCAGAATTAAACGACCACGTTGAGTCACAGTTTGTTGCGGTGTCATTGGACCTTCTTTAAAGACGCTACAGGTAATTCTCTTACTGTCACTGGCGAGCGCTACCGTGATATGATGCAAAAATTTCTGGCTCCTCAAATTAAACAATTTAACCTGCAAAACATGTGGTTCCAGCAGGGCAGAGCAACTTGTCACACAGCTAGGGAAATAATGAATCTTTTGCGAACAATATTTCCAGGTCGTTTAATTTCTCGATTTGGTGACGCCAACTGGCCACCAAGGTCACCAGATTTAACTGCTCCTGACTTTTTTATGGGGATTTCTGAAAAATAGGGCTTATACCAACAAACCAAATACTGTAGAGCAGCTGAAGAACAATATATTACGGAAGCGATGGAAAATATTCCTCCAGAAACCTACCAAAAATGAAAAATGTAATCAAGAGGTCGACATTTGTCTCATATTATTGTTCATACACATTTTCTAAGTTTCAATAAAATATTAAGATGAAAAAAGTGGACGTATTTTATTTCATTTCACAAATATTCAAGATACAAACCAGTCACATAGCCACATATCGGTCACCCTGTATAAAAACAAAGTATTCATTTCTAATCCGAACCATATCCTAAACCAAGAGTTAGATGAAATTGTGACCGAACTTCCTAACATTAAAGTATTTAAGAATAAGAATAAAAAAAATAATTAAGTTGAGACAGATTTAACCTTTATATACTAAGTGACATATAAATCCGAACACCCAGTTTAAATGGTTTTATTTTAATAAAATTTTGTATAAGTACTTAATGAAGCATAATAAGTAAATGATAAAAATTTCAAAATGATGCACTGCTTTAAAGCCGTTTGACCTTTAATAATGTGTGGTTGCACCCTGATGTGCTACGCATTCTCCAACGCGCCTAGGCATGCTTCTGATCAGGTGGTCAATGTCCTCCTGTGGTATCTCATTCCAGGCAACCACCAACTCCTCTCGAAGTGCTTCTAGAGTCTGAGGAGGGCGTTGCAAATTGAGCAATCTCCTACCCATTATATCCCACACGTGCTCAATTGGGGATAAGTCGGGAGATCTTGGTGGCCATGGTAACAATGTGACATCATTATGCTGAAAGAAGTCTATTGTGACTCTTGCAACATGTGGCCAGGCATTATCTTGTTGGAAAGTTGGATCTGCCAGGGTGTCAAGATAGGGTAAAAGATGGGGTTCTAGAATTTCGTGGATATAATGCTGCGCGTTCATGTTACCTCTGATGAAGATTACAGGTGATCTGGAACCATAAGCTATAGCACCCCAAACCATAACTCCAACAGTGTGATGAACATGTCTTTCAACAAAAAACTGTGGATTCCTCCTTTCACCTCGCCTTCTAACCCTGGCACGACCATCGTGCATGCCTAAACAAAATCGAGACTCGTCACTAAAGACAATACTGTTCCATTCCTGATCCCAGAGTGACCGTTGTCTGCACCACTCAAGGCGATTACGTCGGTGTTCTCGAGTTAAAGGGAGGGCCCAGTGTGGACGGTATAAAAACAAGCAAAAACTTCTCATTCGTCGGTAAACACTTCGCATGCCAATAGGTCTTCCGTGTTCTGCAAACCATTCATTTGCAATGGACCTGGTAGTGGAGAAACGGTCCCTTAAGGCCAATAATCTTAGGCGGCGATCTTCACGGTCTGTTGTTCTACGGCGGCGTCCAGTGCCCCTTGCTCTTTGTGTACGGCCTTCTCGAAGCCATGCCTGACAACACCTAACCACAGTGTCTACACTTCTTTGCACTCTAACTGCAATTGCCCGAAAAGAAAGTCCAGCTTCCCGAAGTCCCACTATACGGCCCCTATCAAACTCACCAAGTTGACGAAATCGTACAGGTCTCCGTACTCTAGGCATCGTAACCGATCGTAAAGGATGTCAAGAACCAAAATCCGCCAACGTTGATCCTTTACTGCGGCTGAAATATTCATTCTTAGAGCGTTAGTGAATTAAAAAAAAGCAGTATAAAAACCGGAATGTCCAACTGATAAGGCTGAAAATTTTTTCACTTGTTATTTACAGTAAGATAAATACATTCACCAACTTTTATTTAAATTAAAGCATTTAAACTGGGTGTTCGGATTTATATGTCACTTAGTATAAGTGGAGTATGGACCCAATAGCTTAGTTAGCTTAATATTTAATATCTAGAGAATTAGTTTAATTTTGATGGATATAGGGCATTATTGTCTGAATACAAGCATAATGGTGCATAACAGTTACTACATTACATGCATGTCTGCCATTTCCTCAAAAGTGTAATGTTCCATCACAAAAATCGAGACAAAAAGACATTTCGTAAAGAAAATGACGTGAATAATTCTTTTCTAGAACTGACGGCAAATGTCAAATCTCCATGGAGAAATGATTTTTTGTTTTCCAAGTCACTTGTGCCTTTTTTAGGAAAATTTAATAAACCAGTTTAATCCAGTGACCTGCAATGAAACGGTTTTTATTTTTTTCCTCGAAAACGAAGTGAGATCCGTATGAAATTCAAAAAGGTATTCGTAGATGCTTAACCAAACAACAAATATTAAAGTTACAAAAAAGGAAGGGGCCTACAATTTTTTTGTCAGTATTATTCACTAAGGTGGCCATTTAACCTAATCATTTCAATCAATGTAGGGCTGAATCAGCCTCTAATACAACAAATAATATTGCCAAATTTCAACAGGATCGACTAAATTTAAAATTTTCACCCTGTATTTTTAAAACACCACTCTTTTCATATTTTGCAACACGGAATCACCCTCTAACATATCTTTACTTTTCGAACACCCTGTATGTAATCAAATGACACCTTGCACATTTAAGCATCCCACAAACCGGCGCGAAATAATCGCGGCGAAGTATTCGCAACGAAATTCAGAGCGAAATTCGCAATCTGTTTCGCCTGTTTATTCATACCAAAGCGTCTTATTCGCTCCGCGAACGTGAAGGTTTCGACAGGTTGCGTATATTTTATTTTTGCCTTTTGCAATGAGCTCGTCTTCAGAAGAAGAGGAGGCACTTCTATTTCTTGCTTTAGAAGAGGAACCAAATGCACGGTAAGTTATGTTTATTTAACGCCATTTGATAGTTGGGTATGTATTAAGTTTAACGAAGTACATAAAACAAATATTTTCAATTTTGTTTAGGAAACGAAGGAAGTGGGTACATGATATTAACTTGGAACGAAATAAATTTGGGGAATACCATACCTTGATGCCACAACTTCGGCTGGATGAACAGCGCTTTTACGTATATTTTAGAATGACTCCAGAGTGTTTCGATGAAATATTGAACTTGGTGAAAGATGAAATACGAAAATCTGACACAAATTATCGTGAAGCTATTTCGCCAGAAGAACGACTTGCTATTACACTCAGGTAAAAAAATTATATGTATTAAAATTAGTAGGCTTATCGAATACGAAAACTTCAGGGATCGTGAAATAAATATTTTATTGTAATAATTGGACTACATGTTGCCACTAGGATTAAATGTTGCTAAATAATTCGAGGCAGAATTTGCCTCCTCTGTTGGGTATATTATTGGAGTAAACCCAGTGCCGCTTGGGAAGGACGACATACTACTATCATACATACTTGCAGAATTCTGGGTAGACGCTGAAGACATTTCTTCAATATGTTCAAATTCTTCGTGCGCTATTAATTCGGCTATTTTTAGTTTTATTCGGGCTTGAGGCTTTAAGGGAAGTGTTTTCACAGTCTGTGCATGTGCCAAGAAAAGTGAATCAATGGCCTCGTTTTCTTTTTTAGGTTTTTTACCTTCAAAATAATCAATGAGCTGTTGTACAGACGAAGATGGTGGTTCATAGCGTTTTCTGCTTGTTTTATATTTTGGTGTAGTTGCAGTCTGTGGAAAGGTGTGCCCTGGAGTAGTCACTGCTGTAGTGTTCAATGAAGAAGGTGGTGCTGTCTGTGTTGCCGAGGCGTTCTGTGCATCTTCTGCATCTACATCAGCATTTTCATCTTCTCCATGGCCGCGGCCTTTCAAATTTTCGGTTTCTACATTTCCAGCCCTTTCCTGATATACATTTGAGTTAAATTCGGCAGTCTCATAATGTATGACGTCAATATCTTTCACATTAGACGACGGTTTGGCAAATGCCAAAAAAGGACGGAAAAATTCCATGTAGTCAGCCCACTGCCATTTCTTTATGTTGCCCACTGCTTGGCCGGTCTTTGGTTTGGTAGATTTTATATATTTTGCAAATGTGTCTCTGATATTCTTCCACCTTTTTTTTACTTCATCACCTAAAAAGGATTTTTTTATAGATTCCTTGCCACTGGTGACACCTTCTATACCATTGGGCATAGCTTTCGAGTTGGCTTTACAACAGTGAGTGCAATCGTAACCGAAGTCTGTGAAGCGATATGCAGACATATGGAGCATATATATTTACCAGAACCAACAGAGAATATATGGAAAAAATGTGCTGAAGAATTTGAAAATAGATGGGGATTTCCCAATTGCATTGGCAGCGTGGACGGTAAACATGTAACAATCAAGAGACCTAACAACAGTGGCTCCAATTACTGGTGCTATTTACATAAATATTCAATAGTACTTATGGCCATTGTTGGCCCGGACTATAAATTTATATGTGTTGATATTGGTGGTTTCGGAAAAAATAGTGAATGGGGTATTTTCGAAACCTCAAACATGGGATAACGATTTGAACAAAATTTAATGAGTATCCCTGCACCTAGATTTCTCCCTGGGCAAAATGAAATCTGCTCGTACGTCTTAATTGGTGATGAAGCATTTGCTTTAAAACCATACCTTATGAGACCATTTCCTTATAAGCAGACTTTAACAGACTTCAGAAAAGAGAAATACAATGTAAGACTTTGTCGAGCTAGAAGGGTCGTGGAAAATGCGTTTGGTATTTTGTCTCAAAAATGGCGAATATTTTACAGGCCATTAGAAACTAAAGTAGATACTACTATTCTAATTGTACGTACGGCATAGTAAAAGTGGCGATGACAAATATTTTCAATTCTTAGATCCCCCAGAACCCGTGCTTGGAGCTTTTACTGATATAGCAAATGATCCTCGGTGGGCAGCAAGGCTAGCATTTTCTACTCGTGACAAATTCGTAAATTATTTTAATTCTGATATGCCTATGCCCAATATATAGAATGTTCGTTTTCACATTTGTGTAGACTGTAAATTATTTAACAAGTTAATAAAAAATATTAGGTACATACCATTTGTATTTAATTCTTTTCCTATTTCCATCCAAATCTTGTCTTTCTTTCTCACATTCCTGTATTCATCGTTCGACAAATCATACAAACAAGGATACTTTTTCACTATTTCTATCAATAATTCCGTTTTTGCCATTGCGAATTTTTGAAGAACGGCGTCAAAAACGCGGTCAAAGGCGAACTGAAATACGCCGCGAATAAAACGCTGGAACAATCGCATTCGCTTCGCACAAGTCTGAGCCTGTCCGTAAACCGCCGCGTTTTAATCTGATCGCGAATTCATCGCCGCGAAATTTTCGCAGCCAAAGCGAATATTTCGCGCCGGTTTGTGGGATGCTTTAAGCGACTGGAAGCGAAGCGACGTTGTCAGATTTGGCACATAAAAATGATAAATATCGCCGTGGTTCCCTTCGCATCGTTTCGCTTCAATGTGCGTGTACCTTTAGAAAACGGATTTCCTAACCTGGTAGTAAACAGTGTCAGGAGTACTTTCGTCGGGAGTCCACTGAATAACGCCAGGCTCTCCAGGGTCGCACTTCAGTTCCAGAGATCTTTGGTAAGCTCCGAAAGATGGATAGTCGTCTGCTTCCAAGTCACCGGATTGGGTCCAATGACATAAGCGACCGGTTCCAGTGGGCACTAGGGACCCGTCCTTGGCTTTGCGTACTCCAGCAAACACATTTACAGCCTGCAATGTGGTAAAAATATTGTCAATAGTGTCGTACGAGGGTAGAGTGAAAAGTTACCTTTCTTTCTTCTGGGGTTTTGTAGGCATAACCTCCAACTGGGTCGTCCGTGATGTAGAACGGATGGTATTTTGCAGACACTTCGGGGTCTAAACCTCCTTCTACGACAAACGTGTATGTTTTCCCTCTGACTACGTGGATAACTGGTATCAGGAGACCGTTGATATACCACGATATGCCCCAACCAACATGACCTAGAAATCGATATTACAATGAGAAAACTAATTTACAAAAACTGGCTAAAACGATCCTATTTTTAAAACTCGTAAATATTGATAATACTTCCATCGTTATACAAAAAATAAACATCATGCTCTGTAAAGTTCTTCCGCCAAAAACAAGGATTAAAAATAGTGTAGCTTACTTTTGAGATCACCCTAGTACATTGATTCCCAAAGTGGTCTATATCGACCCCTAGGGGTCTATGACAACCTGCAAGGGGTCTACGTCAGCGAAAAAAAATTTGGGGGTCCATGAAATGAATATGGGGGTCCACGATAGCGGATCTCAACACATACACTGATGGTACGTATTTACTTACATCATACTATCTTATAATATCAAAACATATACATTATTTATAAAAGTATCTATGAAGTAAAAAATGTATTATATATGTTTATAAAATTGTGTAAGTTGTAGGATGTTGGTATTCGCTTTGTGGTCGCAATACCTTTTGAACCTGAGAGTCGCAGTCTCAGAGCTTCGCTACCTCGCACTGACTTGTTCAATTCGTCACTCTATAAATACGAATGTGGGACAAATACGTTTATTCGTTTCCTGAATCTTGAAAAGGAAAGTGCTAAGAAAATATTTAAAAAAATATAAACAGATAGTAGATCACACAAATTATAGTGAGTCAGTGTTATTTTGTTTGAGAGTGCTGGAGAAAAGTAAGCACATTATTTTTTATTAAATTTTAGTTTTGTACTCGTAGTTAGCAAAGGTAGATAAATTACGCCAATCATGACTTTAGTTATTAGTAGTTAAATATTCAATCATGCAAAATTACACGAGAACTCCTCAATAGTTTCTTTTTGAAAGTTTTAGCAATCGGTAATATAATTACAGTGCAATCTCCGTAATTGTTGCAAGAAGATGTTCGAATTATGGAATGTTTTCGGAAAAATCAAAAAATATTTTTAATATACAGCTGCTGGATTTTCTGTCTTATTTAAATAATTTAATTTTGCCCACAGATGACTGATGCCATGTCCGAATCTAAAAAGAAATGTAGACACTACAGTGTTGATTATTTGAAATTTGGCTTCATTCCATCATTGCCGGACAACCAATCGCCTATGTGCCTTTTATGCAACAAAGTTTTGGGCAATGACGCTATGAAACCACCTAAACTGCAAGATCATCTGAGAAGATGCCACCCTGATAAAACAGAGAAAGATTTGAAATACTTTCAACCACTCAAGGATAAATTTCAGAAGAGACCTACACTGGACAGAATGTTCGCTTCGACGTCACAAAGAAATGATGATGTTTGCGGGCGTCTTACAATATCTCGTTACTTATAGCAAAATCCGGAAAACCGCATACTATCGGAGAGAAGTTAATTTTGCCAGCCGTTGAAGAGGTTTTAAAAACTGTTTTACACAAACCTGCATCTGATATCATTAAAAGAATTCCCTTAAGCAACAATACTGTTGAAAGACGTATTGATGAAATGAATTATAATATTGAAAGCTTCTTATGTAATTATTTGCAAACGACCCATTTCTCTATACAACTGGACGAGTCAACTTTACCTGATAATGCAGCTTTATTATTGGCATATGTTCGTTTTATTATGAATCAATAAATCTACGAAGAACTGCTCTTCGCAAGAACTTTGATAACCGACACTAAAGGTGAATCAATATTTCATGTTTTGAAGGATTACTTCATTGAAAAAGCAATTCCTTTATCAAATATAATACCAATCGCTACAGATGGAGCACCTGCCATGGTTGGACGTTATCGTGGATTTATAAGCTATTTAAAACAAAATGTGTCAGGGGTGTTAGCAATACATTGCGTCATCAATCGACAACATTTAGTTGCTCAAAATTTGAGTGTTAGATTGCATGAATCACTTCATTTAGTCATTGATGCAGTAAACCAAATCCGAAGCAACGCGTTGAATACGCGGTTATTTGCGCAGTTGTGTCAAGAAAATGACGAACACTTTCATCAATTACTCCTTCACACTGAAGTACGCTGGCTGTCGAAAGGCTTATGTTTGACAAGATTTTTTGCACTTTTTGAGACTATTTTAGAATTTCTGGATACTAAAATTAAATTTTAGAGGAAAATTTAATGAAGAGGACATATATTTTACATAAGCGAGACATCGCCTATTTAACAGGTTTGTTTACAAAATTTAATATGGTTAATTTGCAATTACAAGGCGACAGTTTAAATTTGATTAAAACAAAGTCCATCTTATCAGCGTTTCTTGCCAGAGTTAAACTAATGAAGCAAAATATTCCCCAATTTGTCACAGACAAGCTGCCAGGAAGACACGTTTCAACTTACGTTCAACATTTAAATGCCCTCTATTCAGATTTTGCATCTAGGTTTGAGGATATTTTGACTATGGTAATACCACCGTGGATAATTAATCCATATGGTGACATAGAAGAAACGAATGTCATAATACAATTAACTACAAACGAAGAACTTAAGGTTCAGTTTAAGAACGCATATCAGCAATTCTGACTGCAAAACAACATACCCGTTACTTATCCCGTATTATGGAATATAGCGAGGAAATTTTTAATTTCCTTTCCATCGTCATACCTAGTGAAAAGGGGGTTCAAAGCTGTTACCAATCTCCTAACGAAAAAAAGAAACAGACTGGACATCATTAGCCGAGGAGATTTAAGATTAACCCTTAAAAAATTGACGCCAACTGTTGATAATTTATTATTAAAGCATCAGGTTCATCCTTCTCACTAAAAATATTGATTTATTGCCTATGTTATTTTATTTATAGTTTATTTTATGTTTATTGGTGTCTGACCAATAAATGCCCGCATTGGGAATAAGTGCCTGCATTGATTTTTTTAAAGAACCCCCCTTTATAGAAAATATTTTTTTTTAAATTATTCTGAAAATTCAAGGAAGATACACACTAAAATTCGTTAATTTTTTGCCTATTTTTAGATAACTTAAACGTATAAGAAGCGGAATTTAATCAAACTAACAGTGAAATTATTGTAGAACATACGTTTATGTTATAATTACTAAACGAACTCGCTTATTGTACTATTTCAAGTAAAAAACTTTTTTTTATTGTTTTTCACTTTTTATTTTATTTTATCCCTCTTATTTTTTTTTCAATGCGGGCACTTATTCCCAATGCGGGCACTTATTGGTCAGACACCTGTTTATTTAATGTTACGTATATTTTACATAACAGATACAAAATTTTATTTTGAGTAGATTTAATTTAAATTCAATTAATAAATGTATAAATTAACATGTGTTTTTACTTTAAGTTTTTAACACTAAACTTCACTACAGTTAGAAATTTACAGGAAATCAATACCAGGTAAGTAGGGGGTCTACCCAACACGGAAAAACATGGCAAGGGGTCTACGACACAAAAAAGTTTGGGGAACTCTGCCCTAGTATTATAGATATTATTGCATTACATCTGTGAAGGTAAACTATAAAAAACATTGAGTAGAATACCTGTAATAGCTGGGTATCCTCTTTTCCCTCCAGTAGGTCCCATTTGGGCGTAGAAAACTCCATCTTCTGGTTCGTAGCATTGGATATCCGGTATTTCCCAAGCATCACGTCTGGTCTTCACTGGGGTGGGAGTAGGAACTTCTTTTACGGAAGCAATGCTGTCACTGAAATTGAAAGAGATTTCTTGATCATCAAATTTTATGAAGGCACAACTCATTGCCTTCAATTGGACGCTGTAGTTAAATCACAATCTAGGCTTGAGAGGAATGCTTCCGTTCAAAGTCCGATATAGACATATTTTGGCGTCTAAAATGACGCACATGACAAAAAGGCCACAGTGACGAAAATGACGAAAATGTCGAAAATGACAAAAATAACGTAAACGACGAAAATGAAATAATGACGAAAAAGGAGAAAATGAAAATGACGCAAATGACAAAAGTGACGAAAATGACAAAAATGATAAAAGTGACGAAAATGACGAAAATATCAAAAATGCCGAAACTTACGAATATGACGAAAATGACGAAAATCTCGAAAATGATGATGATGACAAAAGTGACGAAAATGACAAAAACGAGGGAAATGACAAAAAACTTCTACCCAACTTTATACAGATACTGACTCAAATCTGTAATATCTCAAAGAGCCATAGAAAACGCGACAAGTAAATTGTTTTACCAAGGTATGACTTTGTCAAAGTATCATGGCGATTCCGAGATCTGTCCAAAACTGACTCACTCAGAGCCTGTCATAATCTAAGCCTGAGTGGTCATATCGTGAATGAACAATAGTTTTGCTTTAGATCCGATATAAAGATACTTTGGCGTGACGATAATGATAAAAATGCCGAAAATGACGAAAGCTATCAAAATGGCGTAAATGACGAAAATTATCCACATGACGAATATGACAGATATGACGAAAATGATGAAAACTGAAACTGACGAAAATGACGATAATGACATTAATGAAGAAAACGATGAAAATAACGCAAATGACGAAAATGACGAATATGACGAAAATGAAAATGACAAAAATCACGAAAACTGTCAAAATGACGATAATAATGAAAATGGCGATAATAATGAAAATGCCGAAAATAATGAAAATTATCAAAATGACGAATAAATAAGAGGCTATAACGAAAATAACGAAAATGACGAGAATATCAAAAACGATGACAATTATCCACATGACGAATATGACAGATATGACGAAAATGATGAAAATCGAAACTGACGAAAATGACGATAATGACATTAATGAAGAAAACGATGAAAATAACGCAAATGACGAAAATGACGAAAATGAAAATGACAAAAAACACGAAAAATGTCAAAATGACGATAATAATGAAAATGCCGAAAATAATGAGAATTCTCAAAATGACGAATAAATATGAGGCTATAACAAAAATGACGAGAATGGCGAAAATGATGACAATGACGAGAATGACGGAAGTGACGAAAATACCGAATCAACTCTGTAATATCTCAAAGAGCCATAGAAAACGCGACAAGTACATTGTTTTATCAAGGTATGACTTTGCCAAAGTATGGTGGCGATTCCGAGATCTGTCCAAAACTGATTCACTCAGAGCCTGTCATAATCTAAGCCTGAGTGGTCATATCGTGAATGAACAATAGTTTTGCTTTAGATCCGATATAAAGATACTTTGACGTGCTCTGTTGGCGGCAATGATGAAAGTGAAGAGAATGACGAAAATCACGAAAGTTATCAAAATGGCGTAAATGATGAAAATGACGAAAATTATCCACATGACGAATATGACAGATATGATGAAAATGCTGAAAATCGAAACTGACGAATATGACGAAAATGAAAAAGATCAAAATCACGAAAATTGTCAAAATAACGATAATAATGAAAATGCCGAAAATAATGAAAATTATCAAAATGACGAATAAATATGAGGCTATAACGGAAATGACGAGAATGGCGAAAATGATGACAATTATCCACATGACGAATATGACAGATATGTCGAAAATGATGAAAATTGAAACTGACGAAAATGACGATAATGACATTAATGAAGAAAACGATGAAAATAACGCAAATGACGAAAATGACGAATATGACGAAAATGAAAATGACAAAAAACACGAAAAGTGTCAAAATGACGATAATAATGAAAATGCCGAAAATAATGAGAATTCTCAAAATGACGAATAAATATGAGGCCATAACGAAAATGACGAGAATTGCGAAATTGATGACAATGACGAGAATGACGGAAGTGACGAAAATGAGAAAAACAAGAGAAATGACAAAAGAACTTCTACCCAACTGTATACGATACCGAATCAACTCTGTAATATCTCAAAGAGCCATAGAAAACGCGACAAGTACATTGTTTTACCAAGGTATGACTTTGTCAAAGTATGGTGGCGATTCCGAGGTCTGACCATAACTGACTCGTTCAGAGCCTGTCACAATCTAGGCTTGAATGGTCATATCGTGGAATGAGCAATAGTTTTGCTTCAAATCCGATAAAAGGTATTTTGGCGTCCTCTGTTGGCAAAAATGATGAAAGTGACGAGAATGACGAAAATGACTATAATAACGAAAATGACAGAACGGACGAACATTCTGGAAATGACGAGAATAACAAAAATGATAAATACGCGAGAATTGAGAAATGATATAAAACTTTGCACTTCCCCAGTGCTTCTACTGACTCAACTCTGTAATACCTCAAGGAGCCAGAGAAAACGCGATGAGTAAATTGCCCTACCAAGGTATGACTTTGTTCAAGAGATCTGACCAAAACTGACTCACAGACTGGCACTCGGGTCGAGAGTATTTCAGATTTTGTCACCAACCATCGGGCTTACCGAGTGCTAGTTCCTCGTTGAGGTCCCCTCCTCCTTTGAGATTGAGGCGTGGTAACTTGAGGTGCCTCTGTCCTACTAACGCCGAAGTCAGATTCAGTCGTTTGAGGTCTACCACCTCCCCTTCTTCGAATAGTTGTTCTTCTAGATGCTGGCGATGAAGTTGCGATTACTGGTTCTTCAGTGCTGAAGCGTACAGGTTCTGGAGTTGCATTGATTGTGGACTGCGGAGTCTGGAAGCATTGGATCATTAGTATTTCCATTGGTAGGTAGATCATGCTGGTTGTGAAAATAAGCTAATTTCTTGGTAAGGCACATTCAAAAGTCTTGAGATAGCTGTGATATTATGTTCTTAAAAAATATGCGTTCCTATCTTTATCTAATGATGAGACACAAATATACGATACACATCACTGTTTAATTTGGTTATCGTGCAGGTATACTGAAATGTTTGTTAATAGATCGGATTTAAAAACAGCGGTAATTTCACACCGAAGTGGTTTTGACATCACCAATTACAACTAAAAGACAAACGTTCTAACCTGTTCTTCCGCTGAAGATGCCACGGATTTCTTTGCTTCCTCTGGCGCAGGGCAGTTCCATCTAGCTGGTCTTCCGAACTCCACCAGCTTATCACCTTTGAGGTACTTCGTGTGGAAGGAGACTTCATTTCGTTCGTTCAGAGGTCCAATGGCCCAGATGATGGCTTGGCTGCCATTGGTCAACACGTCACGGTCGAATTTGTCCGAGGCCGCTAAAGGTCGCTGATAGGTCACGATCGAGTATCCGTTCACCGCAGCTGCGTTCAGAAGGCGGATGTTGTTCACAGCTTGTTGCTACAAAAAAATGGCGTTACTTCATATAGCCTTCGATAGTCTAATATTCAAAATTACGCAGACGGTTCTCAGCTAAATAGGTATGTCATTTGATTCATTTTCCTTGCATGAAGTCTAATAAAAACACTGATCAACAGCCAAAATATATCCTAAATAAAATCAACAAAATATTACTATTTTTAATGTGCTAAAACCGGAGTGAAACTTATTTTTTCAATATTAGTTCAAGTTTTAGAGATACGGTAATTATATGTGTTCCTGCTGTGACAGTGTTAATATACTGTAATTCACAAGAATGCACGTGCTACATTTTTATATTCGGCAAGGAAAGATGATGTAATCGGCATGATTGTGTTACGTTATACATACGTGTACATTATATTGTTTTATATTAGCCATTTTTTCCTCAGTTGGCTGACAGCGTTCATGCAAGATGTCTCGAAAGTGTGTAAACAATCCAGATCAGTTTTGTTACGTGTGTGGTGATGTGACTTTTGCGTCTCAGAGACGGTCTATTACTCCACTAATAACAAAGGCATATCAGCTTTATTTCGGTTGTAAACTAGGTGATCAAGACAAACAGTGGGCACCCCACATCTGCTGTAATACATGTGCTTCAAGTCTGAGGAGCTGGTTAAATGGCAAAAAACGGTCTATGCGCTTTGCTGTCCCAATGGTTTGGAGAGAGCCTACAAGTCATATTAATGATTGTTACTTTTGCATGGTACCTTGTGTTGGACAAGCCACAGGTATGTCCAAGAAAAAAAAATCGGTTGTTAACTACCCAAACATACCATCTGCGATGAGACCTGTGCCTCACAGTGACGAAAATCCTATTCCAAAACCCCCAGAATCCTACACTTGCGAATCAGAAAACCAATCAGATCATGGAGATCGAGTGATTCGTCAGGAAGAAGATATGCCATCAACGTCAAGAGATCCTGATTTTATACCGAGCACGTCATGCCACCAACCGCACAAAATAACACAGTCAGAATTAAATGATCTTGTAAGAGATTTAGAACTTCCAAAATGTAAGGCAGAGTTACTTGGATCAAGACTGCAGCAGTGGAACTTGTTAGAAGACGATGTTTCGGTATGTGTTTTTCGTAAACGCCACAAAGACTTAGAACCATTTTTCAATGTGGAGAATAACTTGGTTTTCTGCAGTAACATTAACGGCTTACTGGCGGCTTTAAATATAAACTATAACCCAGAAGAATGGAGATTGTTTATAGACAGTTCAACATTGAGTTTAAAGGCAGTGTTATTGCATATTGGAAATATTTTACCATCTCGTCCTGTAGGGTATGCAGTTCACATGAAAGAATCATATGACAATATGAAGTACCTATTGATATGCATAAAATACGATGAGCACCAATGGCATATTTGTGGCGATTTGAAAGTTGTTGCACTTTTACTTGGGCTGCAGCTAGGCTACACAAAGTTCTGCTGTTTTTTGTGTGAATGGGACAGTCGGGCAAAGGCACTTTATTACACCAGACAAAACTGGCCTATTCGTCAATTCCTAGAGCCAGGTCAAAAAAATGTACAGCATATGCCATTAGTAGATTCGAAAAAAATTTATTACCACCACTGCATATCAAGTTGGGCCTAATGAAAAACTTTGTCAAGGCATTAGATAGAGATGGGTCAGCTTTTCAATACCTGCGTCAGAAATTTCCAAGACTAAGTGAGGCAAAGGTTAAAGAAGGTATTTTTGTTGGGCCACAGATTCGAAATATTTTGAAAGATACACAGTTTGAAAACACTTTAACGGGTATTGAAGAAACTGCTTGGAATGATTTCCGTCTGGTGGTCACTAATTTCTTGGGAAATAGAAAAGCTGACAACTATAAAACCCTTGTCAAAAATATGCTGTCATCGTATCAAAAGATGGGCTGTAATATGTCTCTTAAGATACATTTCCTACACTCACACCTGGACTTTATTCCTGACAATTGCGGAGCCGTAAGTGATGAGCACGGCGAACGTTTTCATCAGGATATTTCAACAATGGAAAAAAGGTACCAGGGAAAGTGGAATCCTTCCATGCTTGCAGACTACTGTTGGACTCTTGGTAGAGATGCTCCAGAAACGATCCATAAAAGAACAGCAAAAAGACAGCGCATATAGTGATTCTTATAAGTATATGAATCTTGTTACTTTTTTTAATATATCCTTAAAAATAAAAAGTTTTTTTCTAAACCGCAACTAATTTTTTTATTTCATTGTCATTTTTGGATTCAGCGCCCTAAAATTAACAAAGAAGTGCACTTTTCCCACAAGATACAATTAAAAAACTAAAATTTGTTGTCCAGTGTTTTTATTAGACTTGGACTCTTGGTAGATATGCTCCAGAAACAAGCCATAAAAAAACAGCAAAAAGACAGCGCATATAGTGATTCTTATAAATATATGAATCTTGTTACTTTTTTAATATATCCTTAAAAATAAAAAGTTTTTTTTCTAAACCGCAACTAATTTTTTTATTTCATTGTCATTTTTGGATTCAGCGCCCCAAAATTAACTAAGAAGTGCACCTTTCCCACAAGATACAATTAAAAAACTAAAATTTGTTGTCCAGTGTTATTATACTTACGTTCAGTCTATTATCTGGACAGGAACCAGTAGGTCCAGAACACTGCGATTTGTCGTTGAGGTAGTAGTCTTCGGCAAAGCCTTTCAATGTGTTCTTATCAACCCAGGCTACGACGACATCTCCACCAACCATAACACTCTTCTGATTGTCGCCAGATAAGCCGAATGACATGTATTCTTTGTCGCCTGTGGATGAGATGGAAATTATACTTTCAGGTTTTGAACAACAATCAGAAAATGCTACACTCGGAATAATAATACAACAAAAATCAAGTAAAACTCAGGAACATACTCAGAACACTTTGTTTTGTTGTATTTTGAAGTGTTACTACATAATCAGCTGTTATTTGGTGTCAGGTTTAACATGATGGACAATCACAATATCCATAGCAAAGAGAAAAATTCTCTTGGGTCGGGATTCAACCACCGGGCTGCCTCATTAATCATATAGGAGGGGCTTTAAGCTTTCTTCTTCATAATGATTCATTCTTACGACGTCAAATAGGAGTACATTTTCTCAGAAATATGGTTTTTGCGCTTTAAATACGTATTTGTTACATCATGTAATAACTCTGCCGACCATCTGTTCAACTTTTCACTAGGTGACTGTTACAGATTTGTTTCATTGTTTAAGATTTATTTAGCATGATTGCTACAATTGCATTCTGTTTAAAAACTACAACGATTTCATAAGATACATATAAAAAAAACGAAATTTGCATCTTTAAGAATTTTTACTATCCACGAAATATTCCTTTAATTTTCTTTTAAATATGAGCAATATAGTAAATGCGGTAGAATAATTGAATAGTAAACTATCTTTTTGAATATGTTCTAAGACTACGAGAAGTAATATAAAAGTATTTGTTTTTCTATGTCAATTTTTGAAATGTATGTACTAGCGATCCTAAAACTTTAGTTTACTACCAATACATATATATATATATATATATATATACAGGGTGGCACATCGAAAACGAAATAGACGCATATACTGGCAGCTCAGTTTTTTTTGAAAAACGCTCAGACCCGTAGATTTTGTTTTCGAGGGGGACACAAGTTAGCACGTGCAGCCCTTTAAGCGGGGGTGACACCACCCCCAAAATCTTAAATGGAAAGGGGGTCGAGTGATACCTTATTTTAAAGGTCTTTCAATTCCCTTTATAATGATATAAAATTAATGTACCTCAGTTCAGTAGTTTTGAAGATTTATTGATTTAAAGTAAATGTTGAAAATGGCCACCATGACTCTCCATGCAATAATAAAGATTTTGCTCAAAATGTTGCCGCACATTTTGCAATATTTGAGGAGTAATTCGAAGGCACTTTGTCGCAGGTCTTCTAATGATGTTGGCTGAGTAGCATAGATGTTGCTTTTTAAATGACCCTACATAAAGAAATCCAAAGGTGATAAATCTGGCGGTCTTGGGGGCCATTCAATGGCACCTCTTCTACCAATCCATCAATCTGGAAACGTCTGATCTAAATATTGTCGAACACGTAATGCGTAATGTGGCGGGACACCATCCTGTTGGAACATCAACCTATTCGCAATGCACCGCCGATCATTCTGATTTTCAATTATTGCTGTTAATGCAGGATCTATGGCGACTTCCAGTAATGAAAACTATGGGCCTTTAGAATCCGTTGGACAGTACGTCGACTAACAGCACACACAGTTTCCAATTTGCGGGTACTTAACGTAGGATCTACATAAACTTGCCCTAAAACCCCCACTTCTATGGCTTGGTTCCTTATGGGATTTTCAATGTTGCGTTTTTTATTGGCGACTGACCCAGTTTCCCGAAATTTGGCTACCAGTTCTAGAACATATTTTCGATGCACGTTACTGTTCTCATGTCGCTTATTAAATATTTCTGCTGTTCTATTAGCGCACTGATTATTTCCGAAAAATATTTCGATAATTTCAACTCTTTCTGTTGCAGAATATACCATGGTTAATTTATGTAATAAAGCGTTACAAGTTATTTAAGCAACAAAGTTTGGTCAAATCAATTGCAAACTATGTACTAAATTCCTATTTAAAATAAGTACAAGAAATAACTTTTTTGCCACAAAAAACGCTCCAATAGCCATTTTCAACAACAAAATGATAAACAAACCATGGGCGTAGTGAAGAAAAACATTTACTTAGTAAGTAAATTCTTTTAGTCAAATTTCTTCTGAAAATAGTACAAACTAATCTGATGTACCTATTAAAGTCTACTTTAAGCTTTAAATCGATAAATCGTCAAAACTACTGAACCGAAATACATTAATTTTATATCATTATAAAGGCCTTTAAAATAAGGTATCACTCGACCCCCCTTTCCATTTAAGATTTTAGGGTTGGTGTCACCCCCGCCGAGGGGGCTGCACGTGTTAACGTGATTTTTCGCCAAACTTGTGTCTCCCTCGAAAACAAAGTCGACGGGTCTGAGCGTTTTTCCAAAAAAAAACTGAGCTGCCAGTAAATACGTCTGTTTCGTTTTCGATGCGCCACCCTGTATATATATTTATCCAAATATTTAATTGATTCAACATTTTCTTTTATTTCACCGTTTATCCTGTGATAGCATTTTCATTCAAGTATTTCCCTATCAGCGTACATTTTGATTAAGAAGCATTCAATTTTAGTTTATTTACATTTAACCAATTTATGAATTTTGCCAAGTCGGAATTTAGCATTTTAAAAGCGGTGTCTATATTTTCATCTGATTTGCATATTAATGTATCATCTGCAAATATCTGCATTTGACAATAACCTAAAATAGCACAAATGTCATTAATGTATAAAATAAATAGTAGTGGACCTAGCTTACTACCTTGTGGCACACCAACAGAAATACCTTTTGAGCTTGATAATGTGTAGCTAAATTTGTTTTTTTGACTTCTGCCATTTAAGCAGTTTTGTAGAATTTTAAGTACATATCCTTTAAATCTATCGTGACGCAATTCTGTAAGTAATTTATCCCTCTCAATAGTCTCAAACGCCTTTTTGAAGTTCAAAAACTCTGTCATTGTATGGTTCCTGTATGCTCCTTCAGTACTCTAAAACCATTTGTACTGCAGTTTCAGTTCTTCTTCCTCAATCCAGCTTGAAATTTCTTCAAAATTCTATTTCCCTCTTTGAATTCAATGATATATTCGCAAATAATTTCTTCAAATACTTCTTCAACATCTGGTAGAACATTTATTGGCCGCAAATCGGTCTACAACTCAGAATTCTTAACTTTCGGAACAGGTTTTATGGTAGAACACTTCAATTTTGTTGGAAATTCGCCATATTTCAAGCAGTCATTTATTAGGATTAATATTCTTGCCCGAATAATATCATAATATTTATTAAGTACAGCTTTATACAAAAAAATTCGACATTAATATCCCGAAATTTCACCAGCACAACCCCTAGGCGTAGCAAACCGATATTCTGAACTGGAAATGAACAAAAAATGTATTTAACTCCACCAATCTGTTGTACGCCCGTTATGGCTCAATTATGACGAGATGAAAACGCGTGCTGAAAAAAAATCGACACGCAAAAACTACTACTGGGATGGAAATTACGTCTGGCATTTCATCAAATGCAACATCCACATTTTGCTTTGGGCTCTTTGTGTGTAGCGAGAGAGGAAAACCAGCATTGCTACACCGGGACCAGTATAGCTTTACCGTTTTTTTTCGGTGTATTATAACTGAAGATAGCCAACCAAATACTGTATTTCGACGTCCAAATAAGGAACTGTAAGATCCTAGTGGCATCTATAGCATAACACAAAAAATCAGCCACATACAGGGTGTTTCAGTTTATTGTTGCATAACTTTAAGATTCGATAGAACTTTTAAAATTAATGCATGAAGTCTATATAAACATGGGTCGAAAAATGCGTGGCTTCAGAAATACAGGGTGTTTGAATTTACTTTCTAAAATAGTTTTTTTTAAATATTTCGAACAATATTTGATGAATAACAGTGAAAATTGGTATACAAGGGTTTTTTGGTACGACAAAATGAAAATTTTTTTTAGTGCAATTTTTTGCTTTTCGAATAAAAAAACTGATTCTTCGCACTTTTCAACATAAAAAAGCTCTCTTGTGAATTTTCGTTATAGTTAGCCGTTTTTGAGATATTTTTAAGGTTCGATGCATTTTTAATTATTTATGGGAAAATAATATTTTTTTACATTTTCAATTTGGGCATTACAAGTAATTAAGATGATCGTTTAGATTGTGTTTTTAAACACAGCAATAATTCCTAACTCCAAATAAACACAAAAAAACAGAATATTAATTTCTTTAATTGTCTAAAATTATTTTTAACAAATTAAATTAATTATTTACAACTAAAATGCTATTGGATAGTTAGGACAAACATACAAAATCTAAAGTAGTTGTTCGAAATATAAACCCAATTGTTCAATACACAATTCACATCTACGAATGATCGAACGTGGTATAGCATTATTCAAATAAGGCCTTATTTCATCACATGCATTCCTGATTCTGTCTATTAGCATATCTCATGTGGTTACGGGAGTCTGGTACACTTTTTCTTTTAGAAATCTCCACACAAAGAAATCTAATGGATTCAGGTCAGGGGATCGTGGCGGCCAGGCGACTGGTCCTCCACAGCCGATCCATCTTTCTGGATAATTTTCGTCCAGCCAGTTTCTAACTATTCTCGAATAATGAGCTGGACAACCATCAAGCTGGAACCAGGCCAATCTTCTTAAATCTAACATAACATCATCCCACATATTTGCATGTTCAGCCTTTAAAAATTCCAAGAAGGTCGCAGCATTTAACCTTGCAGGCAAAAGGTAGGGTCCAAATAGTCGATTACAGTAGATACCAATCCACACGTTCACACTAAATTCATGCTGAAAATTTCTTTCCCGAACTGCATGCGGATTTTCATGCGACCAAATATGTTGATTTTTATAAAACTTCCATTTACAAAGCCATACACAAAACGAATATCCCCTAACTCTTGACTGGAGAATAAAAATGGTATTTTTATAAAACTTACAAAAAAAATAGGTAAAAGAAACTAAATTTCGTGCATTCACAATTGCAAAAAAACGTTTCAGGTTTCAACAGACAACAAAACTAACTGTCAACTAATTGACGCTTACCATATTCTAAGTTCAATTTCAAAAATATTTGCAGGCACAGCCTACTTCTAAAAATTATCGAGATACTGACTTTTTAACGTTATTTTATCATAAATAATTAAAAATGCATCGAACCTTAAGAACCGAAATATCTCAAAAACGGCTAACTATAACGAGAATTGACAAGAGAGCTTTTTTATGTTGAAAAGTGCGAAGAATCAGTTTTTCTATTCAAAAAGCAAAAAATTGCACTAAGAAAAAATTTTCGGTCATTTTAATACACTACAGGTACAGTAGAGAGCGCCCTCTAGCGGCTACAGTAAAACTATGCCCATGGTTCGTTTTGACGTAGCAAAAAAACCTTGTATACCAATTTTCACTGTTATACATCCAATATTGTTCGAAATATTTAAAAAAAAAACTATTTTAGAAAGTAAACTTAAACACCCTGTATTTCGGAAGCCACGCATTTTTCGACCCATGTTTATATAGACTTTATGCATTAATTTTAAAAGTGCTATCGAATCTTGAAGTTATGCAACAATAAACTGAAACACCCTGTATATGTTCAGCTTATTTTTATTGTACGACGTTTCTGTCTCAACGGTGACCTTTTTCAGTACAATACACTTTGTTTATTTGTCTTCCAGGTGACATTTCATTTGTTTCTACTTCCTATGCCAAAACTAACGAGGAAGTATTGTATTGGTGTAATTGACATGTACATTACGAAAAACCATGCCACACTAGGTTGCTACTATGGCAAGCATAAAATAACTTGGTAGTTTCTGAAAATCGGTCTGGTGGTGGTGGAGCTAGAGGCAAAACATAAAAAAAATAAAAATCGCCTAAACCTCGTTTTTTTTTGATGTTTCAGAGACTCCTGATCATTTTCGGAATTTTTTTTGTAGGGGCTGGAACTTGGGTGTGGGGACTGTAGGAGGTAGGGGGGTTGTAAATGTAACGTCTTTAGTATTAGCCAAGAAGCGATGCCGCACCGTTGTGGAAGGCCACTGCCGACTGTGCAATGGGTAACAATCTCCAACTGGTCTTCGGTGATGTCGTCACTGACACACTGCTACAGGATAACCATTTACAAGGGATGTCTTTTAAGTTTTGCATATAGACACATAGTACGTCGCGCGGATCAAACGTCAGTACTGAATCTTAAAATCACTCTTTAGTAAACTTAAATTCGAAGTTCCACAACAATACGTGCAGTGTTCTCACTACAGTGAATTTTTAAGTGTCACCAAGTCATTAGAAAAATGGAACTCAACCGAGAACATTTTCGCGCCATAATTTATTACAACATTCAGAGGCAATTATCGCAACAAGAATGCCTTGCTGAGTTACTGTTTGTTTTCGGCTAACGAAGCGCCACATCAGTCGACAATTTCCCGTTGGTATGGAAAACGTCGATGCTGTGCTTAAACTCATCATTGAAGATAGACATGTGACATATCGCGAGATTGGGGCGTCCTTGAAGATCTCAAAGATTCCAATTCAAAAAATTTTACATGAAGAATTAGGAGTAAACAAATTAGTTTCTCGTTGGATACCCCACCTGTTGACTGACGGGCAGAAAGCATCCAGGGTTAATTGGTGTCAAAAACGCTTGACCGTTTCAATTCCGGAAACTCAAAAAATGTGTACAGCATTGTTAGCGGTGATGAATCGTGGTTTTACTGTTATGAACCAGAAAATAAACGACAGTCGGCTGTTTGGGTGTTCCAAGGTGAAGAAAAGCCAACAAAAGTCATCCGTTCTCGAAGTGTTTCGAAAAAGCTGGTCGCGACATTTGTGTCAAAAGCGGGTCATATTGCAACAATTCCTCTTAATGAGCAAAGAACTGTTACTGCGGGTTGGTATACCACCATTTGTTTACCCAAAGTCATCACCGAGCTTCGAAAAATCAACCCCGAAAGAAGCATCATCCTCCACCAAGACAATGCAAGCTCGCACACAGCCCCAAAAACAAGGCAGTATTTAACGGAAGAAAACGTGGAATTATTGGACCATCCTCCATATAGTCCCGATCTAAGTTCTAACGATTTCTTTACTTTCTGAAAATTAAAAACAGACTGCGTGGTCAAAGGTTCCAGTTACCAGAAGAAGCAGTTGACGCGTTCAAAAATGCGTATTAATCTTCGTGGAGAATACTTCGAAAAACAATAAAGTCATTTAAGACTACCTACCGTGTTGTTTTTGTTTTCATATGCAAAACTTAAAAGACATCCCTCGTATATATGTTTGCAATATTTGGATACTAGGAGTACGTACCACATTCTGCATTCTGCGATGCTTTTGTAAATGATGACTTGACTGTTTGTATATCTACACATACATTTTTCGGTATATTATGATACCACCCATTTTATCTAACCTTCAATTTGTATTGCCACGTCTGTGATGGTTCTCTGAATAGTTCGTCAAGTAGCTTGAATCAGTATTCATCAGGACTCATCCCCTTTCTTTGAAATCTCCAACGAATACGTAGGAAGTATAGAGTTAATCTATTTGACGCCACTTTTTCTTCACTTTACCCATCCATATACAGTGTGTTACTACAGTCATTGCAATTTCAAGATAGCACCGCACATCCCAAAAGAACGTCCAGGCCTCTAAAGCGACAAGTGAGCATGAGGGTATCTGTCGTTTTTTTGATGTACTAGACACGCTACCCTCGTCCATCGTCCAGAAAATGAATAAAATGCGAAAACCTACTTAGATAAACAAGGTATATTGTCAAAAATGTCAATTATACTTGAAAAAGGTCACCTTTGGTACCGAAATGTCACGAACTAGGGAATTGAGTAATAATAATAATAAAAAACATAGGAAATTAGTGAAAACTACATGATAAATTTCTAACAGAGTTTGGTTCCACTACTGCGTTAGGATCTCCAATCTCTCTTTGACGCCTTTCAGGGGTCGGAAGCGAAACCTCCGGAATCGGAATCAAAATCAACGGAATCGCGATCGAGACCATCGGAATCTGGACTAGATCTCCAAATGATGATTTCAAACAAGTATATGAACCTCTTACGTGGCACATGTTACTATTTTTCAATCACTGAACGAGTCACACCAACAGACAACTCAAAGCACCTGAAATTTTGTCATTGTGGTTGGGCAGAATGTCATTCAAAGGATCAAGAAGATCATGATTTGACGCCAAACTGCAATGACGGTTATTACTCCATCGATCAAGATGCCCAAAGGAAGTCTGGACAATATTTTTGTACCTAATTTTACTGGACTATGAACGAACTTACCCAATTTGGCCACCAATTGTAACACGATGCTTTCTCCAGCAACCGCCCATCGTACCTCGAATGCCAAGTCGTCTTGGAGTACTTCACAGTTCAGTTTGGACTGATAAAAGAAACACAAATATCAGATTAGTTTATCAACTATTCTAAAAGAAAAGTTTGCCTATAAAAGGCCTTGTGTGACAGTTATATTCAAGGTCACTTAGAGCTGAATCATGATAGTTTCAGACTCGCTATAAATAATTTTATAAATTCAGTTGATCTCAAAATAACCTTGAAATAATAAGAATCTTACATTTTAAACTAGGTATTTAATATACTATTTTCAAGTCACTGTTGGTTTTCTCGTCGGAAAAACTAGAAAGCCAGAGAGTTGTGACATTGCCTCGAAATCCCCGAGAATACAACCCTTATAATAAAAGCCACTACATTTTGTGCCACAAGGCAACTGAAGCAAATTTCCGTTCTCAGGTGTAGCTCTATGACAATCGTAAATCACTATCGCTATCGCAGAATGTCCATTTGTATTCCTAAAATATGAAACAAGGAACAGCGTATCCTATATCTTCTTCCACTTGAGAATTTATTGGTGAAACCAGTAGCGTTTCGTACTCATAACTTCTTGAGGCTATCCAAATAGGTACGATAGCAAAAGTGTTATCCATTACCACAATCGATCTATTAGACTGAATAGCAGTATCTCAGTTCGCATTGAAAGCGCATTTTTGATGGTGACCGCATGATGCCGTCGATTCAGAGCGCTCACCGTATACTGTTGTTTTATAGTAGGTCCCTAAGGACAACAAACAAAAGCAGAGCAAAGTATACGAGCCCCTTCCCACTTCAGTTGGCCCAACTATTGAAATCTTAGTTTTTTCTTATCAAACACAAATAATAAAAATGTGGCAGGGTGTTATATGTAGGTTTAAAATATTAACAATGAACATTTTGATATTATATAGTAGAAAACACCAACTTTATCACTCCCTTATCAAATTTGCAGCATGAAAATAACACATGTTGCAATTACAGCATATCAACCTATTTTCATTTCAATGCAAAATAAGTCTATAACGCATAGGTGGCTGTGAAAAATAAAAGCCATGACAAATGTTTTTATTAATCACGGCTGTCAGAATACGTTTAAAATAGTTTGGGTAGTTAAGGTTTTCAAAATAGGTAGAGGAAAGGTTATTAGTGAGAAAATTTGGTTACTGACAATTACATTTTTTAATTCTGGGAAATCAAACTCAGAAATTGCAACTTTGTTAGACTTATCGCGGTACAGTGTGAGAATATTGTTAGAAGATATAACGTAACTGGTTCAGTTAATATTAAGCCACAATATGTGAAAAAAGTAACATCACAAATGCCGACCGAAGAGCATTAAGAAGAAAAATCGTGAAAAACAGGCGTGCCAATTATTTACCATTAAGTGCTCTGTGGAGTGACCCTGTTGGAAGGAGAATTTCGAGGTCCACAACTCATAGAGAGGCCCACAAACTGGGATTTAGCACTTGCAAGGTAAGTTTTTCTCATAAAAAAAAGTGAAGTAAAAACCCTAAAGTTGCACAACTTGTTTATAGGCCAAAGAAAAGCCACTATTAACTCCACTGCAAAAGAAAAATCGGCTTAGATGGGCTAAAGAACATAGACAATGGACACCTCAACAATGGTGTGCAATACAATGGAGTGATGAGGCCCGATTCGAAGTTTGTGTGGTGACAGTCGTAGTAGAGTTATTCGCAAAAAAATGAAGCATTCCATGTTGAGTGTCTGAAGAGAAAAGTGAAATTTCCACCGTCCATTATGGTCTGGGGCAGTATGTCATCAAAATGAGTAGGAAAACTTCATTTTATTGATGGAAATATGGATACAAACAAATATTTTAGAAGAATCGCTTTTACCAGTGATGGAAGAATGTTTGACATCCGGCCTAGATTTTGTGTTTCAGAAAGATGGAGCAGCGTGCCATACCTCAAAAAAGGCTATAAAATGGATGGAAGAAAATAATTTTGAAATGGGTTTCTAGCAGTCCAGATTTGTCACCTATTGAAACTTTGTGGCACGAGATGAAAAGGTTCTACGACACCATCCAGCTCGTACAATCACCGAACTGAGACAAAAGCTTCAAGAAATGTGGGATTGTTTTACACCAAATTTTTGCCAAAACTTGGTTAACACTATGCCCCAAAGAATTTCAGCCGTAATAAAAAATAAAGGTGATGTTAGCCAATGGTAATCTTTCAATTGTTGCTTTGTTAACTTCGCGCATTTACACGCACATTGCTTATTTGTTCAGATGTTCTATTAGTTATAGGTCTAAATATGCATTTTTTACGACTAGAGTGTATCTAAAATGTTTTTGAGAAAATAAATTGTTTAGTTTATTTAGGCATATTTCGGTACAAATCTTGAAGTGGGCCAACTGAAGTGGGAAGGGGCTCGTAGACTATAAGATGTACAAGGTCTATCCAAATAGGTGGCTATATTGCTATCGTATTCGACCTATCCCGGAGCCATGACTTGACTATTTCTGGTTTTAGTAGAGAGTCTCTCACTTTAGTTAAAATATACGTTTGTACCTGCTAAATTTTAATAAATCTAAACAAAATTATCGGTAGTTAATGTACCTTAAAAAGAAGCTTTATCGGACCGTATACTTTTTTTCTTATAAACATCCCTTGGAGTTTGACCAGGTACTTTATTAGGGTCCTGTATTTCTGAGTGCAAGTACATGGATTTCACTATGCTTGACTGAAAAATTGCTTTTAAAATTCCATGTGATTTGAATATACTATTTTTGGGACCTTATTGATGAACACAGGTTTTGAGAACAAATAAAAAAGATCTCCTGTATTTCTAATTACTCAAGGTGCAAAAACAAAGCATGTTCTAGGTTAGCACTTTGACTAAGATAAATGAAGTATCACTCAGTTTTTTTCAGTATTTATTATTGTATAAATATAGACAATCTGAAAAATATATATATATATATATGATATATAAAAAATATATTTCAGTAATAACTGGCCTGTAAATAGCTGTAACCATGCAAGTTTTAACAAATACATATATACTTCGTTTTTCCATAGCAATAAAGGAATATCATTTTGGAAATTTATCACAATTACATCACTTTATGGTGGTCTCACTTATTTTCGTTGTCATTTAAATAGTACCAATGACGTGACCGCTTTAGAAACGGTGACGTCATAAATTTGAAATATATTACGTGCAATTTTATTTTTTTTGAGCACAGTAATGTTATGGAAATAAAAAATATATCGCTTAGTTTGTTACAGAACTACTCAAACTACGTGTTAATGACTTCAACTTACTTGGTTTATTGATAGATCTGTGTATTTTATGCAAAAGATGAAGTTCGTTTTTAGCCTGGCTTCTAAACGACAATACATTTTAAGACACCTTGTATAATCTAACTTGATTTTTACAAAATCGAATTCGAACCGCGCCCCTAGAAATTGGTTACAAAATACAATAACTCCTTTATCACTTTTCACTTTTGAAACTCTTAATACTGCTGCATTACTAAAATACAGGATATACAATACTACACAGCATCCGCTTTATTATGAACTTGCACTTCACTTCCACATCCAGTGGGCGACTTCACAGCGTCAGCCACGAGACACTATTGTTTGTGGCAGCGTCTGTTTTCAAGGTAATGAAAATTCGTCCAACTTAATTTTTTTGAGTAGCGTTGCTGTGTAGTTATTGTATATGATGTGTCTAAAAGTCACTACAGTTCACATCTATTCTTGATGACTGAGTACCAATTTCGGGTTGATTTCTATTTGGATTTTGAACAAAATAGGCAATCCTTCCCTGAGGAACGTTTACGATTTTACGTTGCTAGACGTATCTGTTTGCATTTTGATAGAAAAGTTTGGATACTATGCGAATGGTGCTGAATGAATATTGGCAACTAGCATTGCACATTGTTATAAAGTATATTTGACAGTTTCTGCGTATTTATATATCACTTTGATATTATGTTATACGGTTTTTCATAATGAGCACAGTGAATCACAAATTAGCATTGATTACACGTTTAGAGATAGCGTTACCAAAAACAGCTACAAAGATTTCATAGGGACTATCGTTATTTGTCTAGCTGTTATATGAGAGCTCTGCCTTTGTTTGAAGTTTTCTTATAATTATTTGCATGTTCGTTTCACCGCATTATTCTCGTTAAACATCTTGCGTGGTAATCTTATACCGAGTACATTCCTTTTAAATAGAGATTTGGTGTTTTTATTTCTTTCAACTTGCTTAGTACCTGGACATTTGCATTTTTTCCGAATTCACTGTCGTATAAATTTACGCTCAAAATGTTTGACTGCATTACAGGTGAAATACTCGCTGCGAATATTTATTTATTTTGCTTTCTTCCCTTCTTTTCTTTTGCATTTTCCCCTTTCCTGCATTAATATATTATATATACAGGGTGTCCGCAAAGTTGGGGTTTTCCTTTACACGACGTGTAGATCTTGAAAACATAAGCAATTTTTCTTAGTACCATATACACCAATGTCTTAAGGAAACCGAGATAAAGGGCTCTGCAACATCAAAAATATCTGAATACCGTCCTGTAGCCGCGACTCGCGACATCCCCAACTGGTACTATTACACTAGCTCAACCCGACGACAGAACTGGGTCGGGGGTCGGGGTCAGTGTGTCAGGTCAGTATGCAACCTTCAACCGACGGTTACGGTCACGCGTGTAGAGGTAAACGAACCCGTATAATCGATTGCGTTTCAAAAAACAACAAGCACTAGAGACGTGGCTAGAGAAGTGCAAGTATCAAAAACTAAAGA